GCAACAGGAAGATCTGTGTTATTCAGTCAAGTCAGCTTAGATACACTCCATATAAAAGCAGGTAGATGGAAATACCTAGTAGTTGCTAGAGATGATCTTTCTGGATGGGTTGAAGCAGTTGGACTAGAGAAAATTCAAGCAAAGAAAATAGCCAGCTGGTTTCATGAGTCATGGATACTCCGGTATGGCGCACCTACGAATGTTGTGGTAGACGGAGGATCAGAATTCGGAGCTCAGTTTCAAGACATTCTTAAGTCAATGGGGATCCAAACTAGAGTTACGACACCTTACTATCCAGAGGCAAATGGTATGGTGGAACGTGGACATAGAACAATAAAAGACACCTTGGTCAAGTTGAGTGGGACTGAAGGAAAGAAATGGCGAGAATATTTGCCTTTAGTGCTGTTTGCGGATTGTGTCTCGACTAAGCGTACGACAGGGTATACTCCGTTTGAATTGGTTTTTGGCCAACAAGCTATTCTTCCGGTGGACTTAGAATTTGAAACTTTTTTGGGGATTGATTGGTGGAGCATCAAGAGCACTCAAGAACTTCTTGAGGCCAGGGTAATTCAATTACAAAAAAGGGATAAAAGGCTACAACAAGCATATGATAAGTTAATAACTACTAGACAACAATCAATAAACTATTGGAGTAAGAAAAAGAAAAATAGAAAACCATTACAAAAAGGAGACTTAGTGTTAGTATACAACAAAAGCTTAGATTCACAATGGGGAAAGTTGTTTGAAAATAAATGGAATGGACCTTACCGTGTTGTCAATCAATTACCTGGAGGATCCTACGCACTGGCGGAGTTGGACGGAGCCGAGGTAGCTAGAAAATATGCAGCAACTCACGTCAAACCTTTTTACCAAAGAGAAGAGGAGGAGGAATAGGAAGAATGAAAACTTACAGGTACGGTTGCTACCAGAAGAAGGGCCATGTGGCATCCCATCCTCGTACTTAGGGATCAAGTTGTGGACATTAGCCTAAAAAAAAAAAAAAAAAAAAAAAAAAAAAATCAATTAGTTGAAATCTGAACAGGAAAGGGGAAAATAAAACTGGACTTACAAACTTAAAGCCACGAGAGATATACATGTACAACTTGACGCGGGCCTCATGTTCAAGAAAGTTTTTAGGGTAGTTGTCACGACAGTAAATAGTGATTTGGTTCATAACGAAAGCGAAAAGAGCGTCGAATTCGGGCTGAGTAAAGCAGTCGCCGTTGTAGATACTGTAACCAGGAGGCGTCAGAAGCATAGAGATCTCCATCTCCTCAGCTAAAGGAGAAATCGCCGGGCTAGAATCAATGAAGATGGGTGTTTGATCGGTAACCTTGGAATGGCTAAGAGGAAAAAAAAAAAAGAGAAGTCAGGATGTAATGAACAACAGGAAAGAAGAGAAGAAAATAAACGCACGAGTTCATTTTCTTTTTGGGGTTCCTACAAGTATAGAAAAATATAAAATAAGTAAGATGGAACCATTAGAATTAATTAAATAAAGAGGGTTAAACTTATACAAAAAGAAAAGATAAGCGAACCTGGGGCGTTTACTGTCGATTATTCAAAGCGCAATAGCGGTAAACGGAGGAAAATTTGGGTGGGTATGCTTCAGATAGACTACATAAAGAGCGGTGTGAATGGGAGGAACGACGAACAAGAGAAAAAGGGATTGAGCGATTAGCGATGTTGATCCAGTGGTAGGAGATAGGAGGGAGGAACAAACCGTGACAAGAGGAATTGGAACGTACAAGCGATTCCCAAGAGGCGCGAAAGATGGGTAGATAAGCGGTAGGGAAGCGAATCGATATCAGATTTTGTTCCAAAGACGATTCTGAAGGATGATATCAAACCCAAAAGAGAAGAGGAGTTAGCCATCGTCCATCGATTCCAAAGGTATAAAAAGAACGATGAGGAACATACCCAGTGGAAAAGATCCAACGACGCCAGAAAGAACAAGCGATAAGATAAACACATCGAATTCAAACAATTTTTTTCCGAAGGGCGACCAACGAACAAAATTAAACGAGAGCGTGATGTCAGCGGACTTGGGTAGAGCGAGGATCTCTATTTTCTTCAAATTCAAAGGAGGGAAAAGAAGTGACGAACCTTTATTGATTAGACGATTATAAACAAGCGATGTCAAGTAAGGAAGGATCAAACAGATTATCAGCATTTCTGATTCATCGAGGATAGTCTTTAGTTTGAATCGGAAAAAGTTTAGAAAGGAACGAACCTGGATCCTGGAAACCCGGATGAAGCGTAACAAGAATACTAAGCTAGTAGCGATTTGTTGGTGGAACTAAAAAGAACATAAAAAAGGGGAAGCGATGTTAGTAAAAGGGTAAAACAAGCGAGCCAAGCGGGGTGCAATAAAAGAGGACTACAAGGAGGAAGAAGAAGTAACGTACCTGGTTTTTTCCTTCTTTGCAATTATCGTCAAATCAAGCGTGGTGGCGGGATCGTTACAGCCTGCGATTAGGAACTGGAAAGTTGGGCGGAAGAAGTATGGTTCTTTTAAAACAAAAATCGAAGGCGAGGAGAGGATCGAGAAGGAGGGAAGACTGGGAACGCTCGTCGATGAAAGATGAAGCATGAGGATGGAAGATGTCGTAGAGTAGACAGTTTCGGATGACTCACTAATCGATTTGGCTAGGAAGAGAAAAGGCGGCCGTCAGCATTTGGAAATGCGAGTAGTTTGGGATCAAAGATGGTGTTCAAGTTAGGAAAGAGGAGGTGGAGGTTAAAAAAAATCGACTAAAATGGAAGACGACTTACAAACAGGTTTTGAGATGGGATTTTCCTTAAACGTCGATAGCTTCCTTCTAAGCTGATGCTCGAGTCGAAATGCCTGATATTTTATCCGAAGAGTTTGAACATCAAAGAAACTCAAGGAGCCGAGTAAAAAAATTATCTAAGAGGAAGTAAATAAGCTAGCTGCTAGAGGAAAGTGAAAACCCGGTGTAGATCAAGTATCAAATTTGGCCGGCGTCTAAAAGCGAAATGATAAGAAATACCTTAGTATAAGATTAAATCCGAGATGAGAGGCCAGGAAAAGCGGAAACAGCTTTGGAATCAGTTTTGACTAGGAAATGGATATCGAAGGCGTTGGCGGATAGAGACGAAAGGAGATCGAAGGGAAATGAAGAGGAGGAGAATAGCGAAATCGATCGAGAAACCGGGTTCAAAGATCATCAGTCGAGTCGATCCTTGAATCAAAAGAAAAGGAATCGATATCAGATTAGAAAATATCAGAAGGAAGAATGAGAGAAATTTCGTACCTTTCAGATTTAATCCATGAATGAACACTCATCGTTTTCCAAAGACGACTTCGGTGACTGATTAAAGATGGAGGATACAAAGTTGGAAGAATTCCAAATTCATAATAGAATCAGACTGCGGCTAAAGCTAAATCAGACTTGCTGCGCAAAATTTAAAACAAAACGTGCGGCGAGGCCAGAATTCCCTTAGCCCCTGTCACTGGCCAGCAAAAATTCAATGGACGAAACCAGGTTTAAAAAAAAAATCAGAGTCTTGGTTCTGAAAATTTGAAAATTCCGCTCCTCGTGAAAGAAAATGGAAGGCAAACCTGAAGCAACTTTCAAAAACCAGATAAGATTTTTCAAGACCACAGGAATGAAAATCTTTGGATAAATTATTCTTTTGCCTTTCCCTTTATTTTTTTATTATTATTTTATTTTATTTTTTTCTTTTCTTTTCCTTCTCAAAGATTTTTTACATATAACATTCAATTTTTTTTTCAATTCAGAGAGCTTGTCTGGGGGCAGACAAATAAGTTGGGGGAGGATGTGGTGAGAGTGATCAAACCCATAGCCCATAATTAAAACACCTTATTACATATACATAGTAGTTAGAATACTAGAGGGAAGGGAATAGGTTAGGAAACAAACCACATAAATAGTACAGGGCTAAATTGTAGTTAAATAATTCACAAAATGGGCTTAAGATATTCAATTTCCCATGAATAAAAAATATATAAATAACCTGTAGAACTATAATACATTCATCTTAGACTAGTAAAACAAGCTACTGAATAGAAAGTGCTTCACAGACTAGTTCCAGAAAATAACTCTTATATTAGCTAGTCTAAGAATACCATTCTCATATTAATTAATCTAAGAATAGGCCTCATATAGTAGATTTACAACCTCTGGTATTAGAAAGGCACTTAGAGATTAATTCATATCAGATTAGGCCATCTCAGAGTAGTAAAAACCACTCTAGAAGTACCCTTCTCAGACGAACTTGTGTTCAGGCCAAAAATCCATGTACTGCAGAACCATTTGTCTATAAATAGAGGCTCCTTTGGCTCATGTTTTCCTGCCTCCCTCCTTATGCTAGCTACAGAATAGTAATCAGAGATATTACTCAGCTTTCATCACCCCTTGATTAAGAGATCCAGAGAATATTAGAGCCCTTGAACTTCCCTTACCTCAATTTTGGCCCTAGACAAGTAATTCAGAGATATTGCTTAGCCATCCTCAACTCTTTGGCAACAGATATCAGAGAAATAAGCATACCCTTTATCAGAGCCCAGAGAGACCAGAGACCAGAGAGAATTTATAACAGTGAAACCCTTCAGAAACCCTTATTACTCAGAAAACCCCACAAAACTCCTTACCTCTCCAACAGGTATTCTTAAGCAACAATAACAGTAGAATCAACACTAAGATAAATTTAGAAATAAGCCACACTCTTATTTTTCTTAGTGTAACTTTCCCGCAAGCTAGACAGGAGGGCAGTCTCACCCACACACAGATACTAACTCTACTATTTCATAGTCTTATTAGCTATTTTATCCCCTCCAAGCTCTTTACTCACTTTCTGAGCAGTTCCACACCGATTGAGAAGAAATTTCCACTGCTCACTAAATGCTTCGGGTTTTTGGATGGACTGAATTTGCCAGTCCTTGTATCTGATGATGAGGAGTAAGTTGTGTGTTCTACTCACTCAGAGGCCTCCTTATACTGACAAGATTGCTTATGGTACTAAATTTGGATCTCAGCGTTCAGAATGCGTACTACAATGGTTGGACGTGCTGGCACTATTGTAGTTTCATTCTTGCATTCGCGTTGGACGGAACGATTATGCACGCAATATTAAACACCCCGGGATCTTGGCATGATTCAACGATTGCCGAGCCGCTGTACAAGCAGCTCTTGTCTCACACACCACCCGACTATCAAGTGATAAGTGACACCGCCTTCCCTCGAAAGTCAGCGAGACTCCAAAAGAGAATACTGGCTCCTATCAAGCAAGGTGATCGGTTGCCCACTGACTCGCAGGAATTTGCGCGGCTTCAGCTGCTCAACAAGCAGTTAGTATCAGCTCGACAGGCTGCTGAGTGGGGTATGCGCTTGATACAAGGATCTTTCGCCCGGCTGAAGCTCCCCCTGCCTGCGAGTAACCATGAATATTGACTGAACCTCCTCCAAGTCATCTGTCGCCTTCATCAGCTCTGATGTCGAACCGTCGGGATCAACCAAACGGCGACTGTATACCAGTCGGTATGGGACAAAGACCAGATTCTTTGCCGCAATTTTCACAAGATGCTTTTTTCCAACATTCAAGGTCAATGTCGCATTTCCCGTTACTATGATGGGTGGCTCTGATCATTATACAAGATAGTTCCTTGATCTTCCTGTGTTTGCTCCTTTTTCTTCATCCATCCCTTTTCTATCCTTTTTTTACTTTTTCAATTCCAAGTCATCATCCTGTTGGCTTTGTTATAGCATATTATTTACTCCTCTCAGATTGTGATTAGATCTCTGCATTACATGTTGTTGTCATACAGCAATGAATGTCTTGATCACTTATTTGAGTCGATCCTTGCCGGGAACAATCGCCTGAGAGCTTGCGTTTCATTTATTTGAGTCGATCCTCAATGGGAGAGCGAGATCGCTTGTGAGGAGTTTGAATCCTGCTTGCCTTTCATTTATTTGAGTCGATCCTCACTCAGATAGCGACATCGCTTGTGAGGAGTTTGAATCCTCGATGAATGATCAGATCGCTTGTGTACTTGGCTTTCATTCCTTAGATCCGATGAATAAAAAAATTACAATCCTACACGACTAGATGAGAAATCTTTAGTATAGAAAAGCACAAAAAACTTCATCTAACCGGAATTCCTCATGACACAAGCGATAACAGTAAGAAGAGAAAAGAGTGAACACATAACAACAAGAGGAGAGATTCATCAGATAAAATAAAACAGAATAGGATAAAAGAAAACTGAATAGGCTGAAAAAATTTATAGGGCAATAAACTTTGTTCCGACCCAGACTTAATCGGGAGGCCAAGGATCAATGTGGTGAGGCCAATTACTGAGTATGACTATTAGAACCCATTGTATTGACATCCCACAATGAAGGGGCCACATGCGCGCCGCAGTGGGACTGAGCAAACATACCTCCTCACATTCCATCGAAGTGCTGAGGTTGCATGAACGGCCGAGATGGTTGCAACTCCATTCGGAGTTGCATCATCTCAACTCGATGGTGCATGTCTTGGTTCTCCGACACCTTCTGCGCGAGTTTGCTTCAAAGTTGTTGAACCTCGTCCTGTAACCAAAGCACATGGGCATTGACGCCTTCGTGTAGACGACTGACTTCATCTTGCAAGCGACCGATCATGGCATTGGCCTCTTGGAGTCGGACTGCATAGAACTGAGACATACTGGTCTCCTGTTCTCAAGACGCACACGCCTCTGGGTCAAAAAAGCTTGCCAACGAAGTGTGGAGAGCCACTTGAGGCTGCGCCGCCCTTGCTCGGCAACCTCCAGTACATAGCCCCTTGGGGAAAAGGGGGTGTTGGACCAATAGACCCGGTGGTCGTAGTACGTGAAGTCATGTTCTGAGAGCGCTGGATGAAAGTTGATGCCTGACGATGTGGTATACCTTAAGGGTAGCCATCTGGCCCATTTAAAAATTTTACAGTTTTTTCTTTTATTACAAATTACATACTTTTTACACTTTTTTTTCTCATATATACACTCACAAATCAACCATTATGGCTCAAGAACTGGATTCTATGGTCAATTTCACCCTTGGTCACCACTGGAGGCGTCACTGGAACTCAACTAGATTGGAAGCTACACCCTCTGGACCATCACTACACTCAATTACACAACTCACCACCATGGCAACACTTCAACACTCAACAACACCAACAAATTACATCATTCACACTACACACATGCACGTTGCAGGACAACTACATACTCACATCATTATAGTACAGGTATACACATAACTACACTATCTTCTGACACTTGATATATGTAGCTTCTAGGCTGGTCCTGTTGCTATGTCACTTGTTAATCTTCCTTGCAGCTGTCAGACTATCTCACACCACTCATGTAATACTCATCACCTCACCTTAGCTTGCAGACTAGTACATCACCTCATGTAGAAGGCTTCACCAGCATAAAACCCTCATGTAGACTTCTAGTTCAAACTAAAATAACTCTTATGACATCATGTAGGTTGCTCAACCAGCCAAAATACCTCATGTACATGTTCTGACTAGCTAAATCCCCTCATTGTAAAGCTCTGGCCAGCTAAAATCTCTCATTCTCTTGTTCCCCTGAAGCTAAAATCCCTCACCTTTGTGTATTTAAGAGGCTCTCCTCTCAGTTGTTTTCCCCTCAGTTTAGCATCCACCTATTTCATACCCCCTACCCTTACAAACCCTTACATACCATTACATACCATCCCATTACATTGAAATATCAGCTAGACTCACTCTCTCACTCTCAAATCAACCTTTTAGACCCTTATAAAACTGGGTTAAACCCTTTGTCCACCTGTTAAGCCACAGTTATCTTTTGATACACTCCACTATCACTTTATTAAACCTTCCAATCTGAGATTGGTGGGCTTGTCTAGTGTCTAGTGATCCAGGAAAGGCAGAGGTATCCTCATTCATCCCTTTCCACACTCAGAAAAAGGTTTTCACAAACACTTTTGAGCTTTACAACGATCAACTGGACCCGCTCCAAGAGGCCCGCCCGGTGTTGCAGCCGACGTTAGACCTTGGGTTGCACCCATTGAAGCATTTCCCGAGGATTGCGCGATGTTGCCGTACTTGCAGAGCGACTTGTCATTGGGGTCGTCGTCCACATCGATCGGATTATCGGGGAGTTGGCTCTGAGTAGCACTCCACCCGGAAATGAGAGTTGACTGCGACTGCGACCCAGGGTCTACAGGTAAGAGGGGCACCGGGTTCCCTACGCCATTTCTAAACCAGGAAAAAGTGGAATGAGTCAATGAAATCCGAGTGCAAAAAACAAAAATGCGAGCATACCTCTCATCAGCACTATCCAACTCCTCATCTTTGTTGTCGACAAAGGCCAAAGTCTTAGCGCGATCCTTGATCATGAGGTTTGCATGTTTAGCCTCCCGAATCCAAACTGGGCAATTGGGATTGCCAGTGGGCTTTCTCAAGGCGACCATCGCCTTGAACTTTGTCTTGATGGGATACGGATCACACAGGAGGCGGTTGTTTTGAACCACATATTGCTCGTACAACTCATGGACGTGGTTCCAGTCGTTGCTCCCTAGCGGCAGGATTCTCTTGACGCAGTTGACAATAGCCATACAGTCTTCCCCGCTGTAACCCTGCGAACCCCGTTGGCGTCCGGTGCAGTGGCCGCTCACTTGAGTCTGGATCATGGAGGGAGCGGCTTGAACACCTTGTGTTGTCGGTTGCATTGGCTGAGTCGTTGGCTGGTTAGTTGGCTGAGTCATTGGGTGGGTAGTTGGCTGAGTTGGCTGAGTCGTTGGCTGAGTAGCCAGTTGAGTAAGTTGGACTTGAGACATGGTTTTCCTGATGAAGATTGACGCTAAAACGGTGTGAAGAATAAGAAGAAATGAAAAGGGAAAGTTATGGATTGCCACCGCTGTATAAGGAAGCTGTCGTTCAGAGACCGGAGGATCAAGCTTGTTATAAATGATGATGGATTGCTGAGGAGTTCCCATGTTTTTGGTGAAGGAGGATTGTCAGAGGTGGATGGATGGAGGATCAGTGGATGATCTGTGATGGAGGTACAGCTAACACAGGAAAGCTTGCGGTTTCGCGAGCTAGAAAATTACAACCAAATATTATTACGACCTCCTGCAGGCTGCTGTATGCCTTCCAAAACTTCCGATTCTTCGGATGCCTTTGCCGCCATTCTCTCTCTACTGCACACCCATACCCCAACCGTCATGCCCCCCGATACCGGCCCCCTCCCCACCTGCCCCAACGACCACCAACCGTCATCCAAAAAATCAGATCATCGATTCCGAGTATCCATCCGTTTCCAAAAGTGCCGTTTCTCCAGCCCATCGCGACCGATACTGTTTAATATTGTACGTGAGAATTCTTGTTGATTGCTGGGGATTTGGCAATCTAACTAACTGACCGGTACATGGCTTTTGAAGGTCATTGTGATGGCCAACACCTCCTATTCCAATGGTCGAGTTCCGCCGCTGCCCTTTGCCAATTCCCCTGAAGGATTGCAAGAGTCGTGGTTAGAACCGTCACTGTCAGCTGACCCCAACGCCGAGGCCTTCCGCTTGTTCCATGACAACGTATGCACTGAAAGTCAATTCAAGAATGCTTACAACCAACCAACTGCCCGGTCCACTGGGTCGGAGTCCGCACCGAAGCCTCAACTACGGGCCATTTATCTGGACTACCACGTTTACTACCAATCGGTGTGGAACTACCCGGTGGGATCAGATAGAGTGTGGAAGGGTAAATGCGCCGTGAATAAGGCTGCCCTCCGGTAAAAGGTGATAAGGTAGTAGACAAGGAGAGTTCAAATACTCTCTGAAGATGTGGCGGACAATTTCTGACTAGCAAGGTGTGATAATATTTTCTAAGTACTTTACCTGAGGACTTTACCTGAGGACTATGACTAAGGACAATAACTAACTAAGTGACCAGGCTGAGCACGTCAGGGAACTGATGAGGGAACAAATGATGAGGGGAAAACATGGCTCCTTATATACAAAATCTGGGGAGTGGCCAGCTTGTGGTTTGAGAAAAGGATCAAGTGAAAAATATCAAACTGAAACACCACGGCCCAGAAGGTGGCTGCTAAGACCAAGGAGGACACAATGACATAGCCTGCTTTCCCAAAAGGGTGCGTAAGTCTGAGACGCGCATAGCCACATGCAGGCGCATGCATAGAAGTAAGAGACTAATCCCCAAGTGGGTGCATTAGTGTGAAACAGAAAGATAAGAGAAAGAGGAGTGCATATGCAGCAGCTCCAGAAAGAGAAAGAATGAAACAAGAGAAATCAAGGAGGGTTCCTAATACCCTGGCTCTGTCTGAGGGGTGACTTTCTTCCCCCCACGTGTGGTCTGGGTGCCTTGAGATTTCTATCTTGAGGACCAAGGTGTTTGGGCCTTCCTGTCCTGATTGTACGGCGCATTGAGGCATTGATGTTTTGATTTGGCTTACCACATCCACCCCCAAATTGGATGATGTCCCCATCATCTGGACTTCTTGAGAGACTGGCGGAGCTTTCTTTCTTCTGTTGATTTATTTTTGATTTGATAAAATTTATTCAGATAATTTTTTATGTGATTTTTCATTTTACCGGGAGACTTGAAGTATGTAACAAAAATGAAGTGAAAAGAAGAAGTGGAAGAAAAGAAAAAAAAGTGACTATGGCGGGTGCCAGGGGCTAGTCTTAGGCTCGGGGACGTTTAGAAATTCGGTGTAAGAGGGGGCTTCCATCTTGTGCTTCTTGCTTGGTAGGGATGTGTACAGGGGGTCTAATTACTCGGACTAATTTAACATTGAGGCACAGGCCATCGGCGGTAGCGCCGTCCATTTCCTCGACTGCGCAGACTGCGGAAACATAGGATGAAAACTCTATGGTAGCAGAGACGGTTGTGCTTTGCCCATCGTAGTGCTGTTTTAGGGAGCAGCTGAGTATATCGCCAAACTGACCAAAGGTGGTCATTACGTCCGCCAAACTGGTGCCTTCGACCAGTTGCGCTATTCGAATCCTTGTAGTCTGTAGATCTGTTGGAGTGATCCTATCGATGAGCGGCATTGCTTCGGATTTGGGGCTGTTAGTCGAGGCTGAAGATTCTCGGCTTCAGGAGAGATTGGTTTGTCTATGTGGTTCTCTAGAATGGGGGAAGGTATACCCATCTATATGCAAGGCGGGGGTTAGGTTCTTTGCTTGGGCTTGAAGCAAGGAGCGACCGAGTCTGACCAGAACAGCAAGACGGCCGTTTCAGAGCGGTCGGAATTGGATCGTGGTCGGAAGGGGACAAAAAGTTCCGAGTCCAACGGAAAAAAAAAAGGAACAAATAGTAGAGAGGTGGGCCGAGTCCGTTTGCGTATGGTTCGGCCGGAGAAAGATACGTCTCCGACCATCGAAAAGAAGGGGAGAGCTGTGATGTTGGGGTAGAAGAACGGCAACACCAGGTTGCGAATCGACTGCAATCGGAGCCGATAGCAGGGGCGCGTGACGAGAACAAGCGGAAGGGGACAGCTGTTCCAATGCTCCGATTGCACAACCGGAGACAAGTCCTTATCAACCAGGTTTGGGCAGGAGACGTCCGTCTCATCTTTGTTTTAGCCTAACCGATTTGTCCTATCGAGCCCGAAATGGGGCCTTTTTCTTCCATTTGAACTGTATACGAGTGACACCCTTGTTCAAAAAGGAACCGCTACGTACCGTTTTGAGCAGTTGATTTGTTTTATCGAGCCCCGAATGGGACTTGTACCTAAGAGACAAGAAAGGAGCGGGAAGAGAAAAGAAGCAAGGAAGAGGAAAGAGACGGAGAGGACACGGCGAGCGACGTGGTACTGTAGCTACCCTGCTGAAGGCATAAAAGGAGGGGAGAGGAATCGGCCTCGTTTCTTTCTCATCATCCAGGTCAATAAGTCCTCTCCTTATATAAGTCAACCTCGATGTCTTTCAACGGCGAGTGGATACCTGGCGCTACCTTTTCTGGTCGCGCTTTTCCCGACGACGATACCAACACAGCCCGCATGAACGACGGTGATTCCATCGCCTCCAGCGGTGATTCCAGTATTTCCGACGACGAAACGAATCTTGCTAACGATACTGAGACCAACGACGCTAATCCCGAGGTCGCTGTTCCGAACAACACCATTGTCTTTGCATCGGATGATTCTCCTCCCACTTATCAACTTGCGGCACTGCCCCTTGGTTCTCCTGAGAACCCAATCGAAATAGAGGATGGAGACGCGGGTAACCAGCCAGAAGATAATGAAGAGATAACCGATTATGAAAGATTGAACAGCCCAAGGTTTGATCCAGTCGAGATTGTTCCTTTTCAAGCGACGGTTGTTGACGAGGAAGATGTCCTTCGAGCTCGTGAGCGCATAAACCGATGGTTCAATAACCATATTAGACACAACTCGCAACGAGTTTTAAGAGGTCGATCCCGCCGTGCACGCGCCGCCGCCGGACCAGTAGAGCCGTATTGGACGGTCAATGAACTTATGGATTCTGTTTTAGAGGAGCTGGATGATATCTTGAATAATGCTTCCCGTGTTGAGTTGATCCACGTATAGAGAGTGAGCAGATATGTACTGAAATGAATAGAAAATTGTTAAATTTTTGGGCTAACCACCCTGACTTCTTTTTTTTTTTTTTTTTTTTTTTTTTTTTTTTTTGTAATTTTTAGCTATGAAGTAATGACAGACAGCAGTTGGAGAGCATTATAATGTACAGTGTGTTTATTTAAGGAGGGATACTTTCAGCAACGCTGATGAAATATTTTCACCTGCGGTGCTGCGTACCGTCGTTTTAATGGGGTCCCATCTAGTTCTTCGAGGACGTAAGAGCCGGATTTTTCTTGAGATATCACTCGGTAAGGGCCTTTCCAGCGATTTTCAAAGAGTTTTCCCCATTGGCTTTCGAGGGATCTATTGTAGACCAGTACTAACTCACCAGGACTAATGGGCCCCCGGTCCGCTTTTTGTTTGTTCCAGGATTCTACGGATTTTTCGCGTGTCTCCTTCAACTTCTTGTAAGCTTTTTGAAGAGTTTCTTCCCGTCTTTCAAGTTGATTAGCCCGTGCTGACAAGAGATCCGCCGTACTTGTTACTTCCTCCCAGTCTGTCCCTAAAAATGTTTCCATTTCTAGATCAATAGGTAGAACTGCCGGTTGTCCAAATACTAGTTCGTAGGGCGTGTAGCCAGTTGTACGCTTGGTTGAAACCCTATCTGCAAATAAAACAAGTGGCAAAAAACTTCGCCATTTCTTTCCATTCGTTCCGCACATCTTGACTAGTGCGTCTTTAAGTGGCTGGTGACCGCGTTCTACCATCCCGTTGGCTTCTGGATAGTAAGGGGTGGTTATCTTAACTGTGGATCCTCCGCGGGCTATGGTCTCTTGGACTTCTTTTCCGAATTCAGAGCCTCCATCCATGACGACTACACATGGGGCGCCATACCGTAAGATCCAGTTTTCTTTGAACCAGGAAGCAAATTTTGCTGCCGTAAGTTTTTCAAGGCCTACTGCTTCTACCCACCCGGACAGATCATCGCGAGCTACGAGAAGGTATTTCCAGCTACCGGCTTTAATGTGGACTGCATCCATGCTGACTCGTCCAAAGATAGTATTTTTACCAGTTGCGTGTTTGTGCTCGAGAGGTTTGACCAGGCTACGCTTTTGACAGGCCTCGCAAGATTGAACCCATGCGCCAATGTTCTTCTTTCATGTTAGGCCACCAAAATCGTAACTTGCAGCGTCGATAAGTTTCTTCCACGCCTCGATGGCCTAATTCTTCGTGGAGCGTTTCCAGGACAAAGTCTTGATTTTTCTTGGAAGATATGACAAGCTGAGGAAATGGTGTGTTCCTCCTTTTCAATTTACCATCTGAAATAAAAAAAGTGGCTGATTTCTTCAAAATGGTTGCCCATTCTTCTTCGGTGCAGTCCTCGGGTCGATTTAAGGTGAACAAATATTCTTGGAGCTTGGCCCAAATTCCTTCTTGAAGAAACTGCGTGTTGGCCACCCCCAAATTCAAAGAATTGACCTCTTTCAAGCCAAATCCTGCGTGTGGTTTTACCCAAGATTCGTCTTCGTCAAATTCGGTAGCAGTCGGTTCGTCGTCGTTGGGCGGGCGTCGAGAAAGACCATCTGGCATGGTAAATGTTTTTCCAGGAACATGTTTGAGATCAAAAGAAAACAGTTGGATAAAAGCTACCCAACGGGTCATTGGCGCATTTGGAAGGGATGGAGAATTAATCATCTCGATGAGGCTTTTAGCATCGACTAATAGCTCGAAATGTTGACCCCAAAGTTGTGATTGTAATTTTTTTAGAACCTTGGCTACCCCGCAAAGTTCGAGTTTGGACTGAGAATATCGTGACTCCACTGGCGTAAAAACTACTGATTCGTAAAGCACTGGGCGGTCCCGGCCATCCACTTCTTGAGTGAGTACGGCTCCTGCAGCAATGTAACTGGAATCTACCGCAAGCTTAATTTTTCCTCCTTTGTCAGAGTAATCAATTTTCTTCAGTGTTATGTCTTGCCCCACGATCTTTTTCAGAGCGTCGAAAGCAGCTTGGCAGTCGTCCGTCCATTCCCATTCTGCGTCCTTTCGTGTGAGTTTTCGCAACGGGGCTGCCAGTTTGGAGAAGTCCTGGATAAACATTCGCACGTAGACACAACTCCCAGGAAACCTCGAACTTCCGTGGTATTGGTTGGAGTCGGCCAAGTCAGCACTTTGTTAAGCTGTTTCTTTGCAATCCTGCGCCCCTCTTTACAGACTACATGGCCTACAAGTTCCAGAGCTGGGACACAGCAAGCAAACTTCTTTCCCGAGATGGTTAAGCCAGCTTCTTCAATTCGAAAGAGGACTCGTTCCAGAATGACGGCATATTCCCAAATAAAGCGGCGAATTCCGGGGTTTTCGGTCAACTTTTCTTGATTATAATCTGAGACAGGGCCTTTAATTCCGCCGTCGTCAATGAATATTCCCACGTTTTCCGGTATTTCTTCTTGAAGAATCCACATCATCTGGGATTGGTAAACCGCGACTGAGTTGGTGGCTCCCTGTGGTAATCTGGTAAGTTGGAAGCGGCCTAAAGGGGTTTCGAAGGTTGTTAAAGGTCGAGAGCTGACGTCTAATTCACGTTCGTCATAGCCGCCCATAATGTCACCAAGCCCGTAACAAGCTCGGCCGGTGAATGATTCAATCAAATCCTCTGGTGCGGGGGGCAATCCTGCGTCTTTAATTGTGACTTTATTTAATTTTTGAAGGTCGTGGACCACTCGGAGCTTTCCATCCTGTTTCTTGACGCAAAACACTGGACTTGAATAGCTGGAACAAGATTGCTCATAGAGTCCGGTTCGAATCTGTTCTCTAACCAACTCAATGAATTGATCTCTGATGGCCTGGGCAATAGGAATTGGTCTTTGTTGCCACGGCTCATGGGCAATTACTGGGATGATGTAAGGTTTACCGTATGAATGTTTCAGTAACCCCCTCTCTTCTTCTACAAAGGCTAAGGCACCTTCTCAAAGCTTGATGACGTGCTTGAGCAAATTTAACTCTTCATCTGAGAGCCACCCGGTCGGTCCGAAATTTACGACTTTAAGGCGTTCCTCAGTTATTTTAGTAGTAGGCACGAATTCTGGGGGATAAGGCGTGAGTGGAGTAGTGTAAGGATCCCGAGATAGGACTGGAAAACTAAGTGGGGTATTGATATTTTGGGGCATAGGTTCGTTGACCGGTTTTACTTTCTTTGCTGCGGATTTATACTTGGCTGCGCAGACTAACACTCCATCGCTACGTTGCATTTGTTGTTCAAAGACATTTTCTGACAATGCATCACTGGAGGCTGTTACCACGTTTGAGGTTGTAGTTACGTTCGTAGGAAAGGTTGTCTCGTATTCTTGATTAGCCGGAGTAATAATAGGAACCAAGTAAACTCGTCCTTCGTCGTCTTTAATGGACAGACTCTCCCCGCCTTCTCCTGCGTACCGCATAGTTGCTGATACGTCAATCAGGAAGGGTTTACCTAAGATAGGTTGCACGTCTCCGGTGGATACCCAGAAGTGGACTTTTCGAGAGATATTTCCAATTTTAACGCGTACTGATTCGGCTATCCCAAGGATTTCGTTCTTGTGACCACCGATTCCCTTGAGGTTCATTTTCTTTTCCGTAACGATGAGGCCCAGGCGTACCGCAAGATCCTTCGGGAGTACGTTCACCATGGAGCCGTTGTCCAGAAGCGGTTGGACTTCCTTACCGTTTATACCTACCTTTATGTGGCCCAGCGGGCATGCGTAATGGGACCTACGTGGGGCCTCCATTTCTTCCTCTTCGTCGTCGTCTGAGTCCACTCCTCCGGCGTTAGTTACCTTTTCTGGTGGGCCGCCCTCGATTGGGACCTTTCGTCGTGAAATCTTCTTCTTGAAAGCCTCGGAGACGCCATTGGAGATCGCAAAAATTTCACCATAAGAGAGTTCCATTTTGCCTTCCAAGACCATTCTTTGGACGACTCGTTCTTCGGCTTCGGGAAACTCTTTAGACAAGGTCTTTTCCAAGTAAGTTTTCTTGGGCACTTTTTCTTTTGCTTCCGGTGTGGTGACTTCTGGTTTCTTGAACTGAACTTTCTTTGGTACCTCTGCCGCCGCTTTTTCCAGATGCTCTTTGTACCCTGGGAATAGGTCGTGGTTGTCTTGTCGTGCCAGTTCGGTAATTTCTTCCTCGACATCCATTAAGTCTTCGCTATCCTTTCGAGTTTTCTTTGGGGCCGGAGTCTCAGAGACCTCTTTTCCGCTCCTCAACCGTTTGGCGGCGTCAACATCGTAAGAGCTAAGTTTTTCAGGGGTGCACTCTTCCAATTTACCGTAAGAAGTGCGGATTTCTGATGTCGGTTCCTGCTTTTTAATTTCGGTTCCCGGAGGAAGGTTGATGATTCCCGGGGTCTGTGATGGCGTGCAGTTCTTATCCACGACTTCTTTTATGGCGCGTGACCTGTCGGGCTGTACTATGGTTCCATTAGGAAGTTTGAGGTCCTTTCCTTCGCGGTAAACTTTTTTGTCGAATTCGTCCTGGGCAAATAAGCTGCATCGATACACCGTGTGTTTATCCCCGAAGCAATAATGGCATTTTAAGGTCGACGGTGGTCTCTCGTATTGCGCCGGCCTGTAGGGTACGTGGCTGGCTGATATCACGGGGCCTTTCTGGACGTTCCATCCTGCTAAGGTCTTGGTTAACTCCTCGACAGCTGGATCCTTTCGTGGCGTATTCACTGGGGCTCGTGGCGGCGCTGGTTGATTGGCGGCCGGTTGCTTTGCCGGGGGATCCTCTCCTTCTAAGATTGAGATGGTCTTGAGTTCACGACTGATATATTCCATAATAGTTAGGTACGGCGGCAAAATGTGGGATCCATCCACCGATAAGCGCATTTGGTTATCTCTGATAAGTTCCTTTGTGACTGAAACCTTAATTGGATGGACCAGGCAGTTTAATACGGCGTGTCGAATTTCCTCTGCGTTACCCATGTGTTGGCACCGGACGAGGTAAGCCACCAAGTTATCTATCTTGATACGGAAATTTTGGAACTCCCTTTGAGTCTTGATACCAGATGCGCGTGTCGTTGCTAGGAGCTGATCCAAATCGTTCCTCGTATGTTTCAGGAGCGGCATCATCTTACCCCAACGTAGCACCATCCGTTCTTTCAATTTTTCCCAGTCGTGGTTCTCCTTTTCGGCCATTTCCTGAACTTCTTTTACCAAAGTCTCACCTTCGAGGAAGAAAATTATCTGAAGCGCAATGTCGGATCCTAGGGCGCCATCTATCTGTGCGGCGTATTCCAGGCGCTTAATAAAATCGCTGATGTCCATGTTAGTACCGTTGAACATTAGTCCTTTAGATTGGGACTTAATCTTGACTGGTTTTCGTCCAAATGGCTCCGGGTTATACGCCGGCAGCACGACACGACTTTCCAAAAAATGAGGACTTGGTAGTATATTCCCTGCTTGGCCATGACTCGGGAAACCGTGACCGGGCAATCGAGATCCTGCAGAGTGCTCTGACAACGCCGGGTTCGCAGTTGGGCCATCTGAAGACGAATTTTCCGAGACGTTGTTTTGGTCGCGGAATGGTCCGGGGTTGAGAGGTAAGTTGTTGGATAATTGTCCAATATTGGACGAGTAGAGGTTTATAGGAACTGGCTGGTTACGGTAAGACATTTCTAGAAGCTATGAAGTAAATCTAATCTAATTTTTGTGTGTGCTTTTATGAGTTTTGAAGTGCGGAAAAAAGGCGAGAGATAGTGATGATAGTAATGTAAGGAAAAGATTTTTTTTTTAAGGGTTTTGTATCTTAAGATTGTAATGGATACCCAAAACGTGACTGTTTAATCTAGAGATCGTCAGGCCACTGTTGGGACACCACTTGTGGAACTACCCGGTGGGATCAGATAGAGTGTGGAAGGGTAAATGCGCCGTGAATAAGGCTGCCCTCCGGTAAAAGGTGATAAGGTAGTAGACAAGGAGAGTTCAAATACTCTCTGAAGATGTGGCGGACAATTTCTGACTAGCAAGGTGTGATAATATTTTCTAAGTACTTTACCTGAGGACTTTACCTGAGGACTATGACTAAGGACAATAACTAACTAAGTGACCAGGCTGAGCACGTCAGGGAACTGATGAGGGAACAAATGATGAGGGGAAAACATGGCTCCTTATATACAAAATCTGGGGAGTGGCCAGCTTGTGGTTTGAGAAAAGGATCAAGTGAAAAATATCAAACTGAAACACCACGGCCCAGAAGGTGGCTGCTAAGACCAAGGAGGACACAATGACATAGCCTGCTTTCCCAAAAGGGTGCGTAAGTCTGAGACGCGCATAGCCACATGCAGGCGCATGCATAGAAGTAAGAGACTAATCCCCAAGTGGGTGCATTAGTGTGAAACAGAAAGATAAGAGAAAGAGGAGTGCATATGCAGCAGCTCCAGAAAGAGAAAGAATGAAACAAGAGAAATCAAGGAGGGTTCCTAATACCCTGGCTCTGTCTGAGGGGTGACTTTCTTCCCCCCACGTGTGGTCTGGGTGCCTTGAGATTTCTATCTTGAGGACCAAGGTGTTTGGGCCTTCCTGTCCTGATTGTACGGCGCATTGAGGCATTGATGTTTTGATTTGGCTTACCACATCCAGGTGGCAAGTTGCATGATTGGCAAAAGTTCAGGTTCTCGATCGTGGGATCGGGTGACCCCTCCGGGTAAATGTGAGACTGTTTGGAAGGTGGATCTCACTAAGTATTCTTGGGCCGAGTGTCAGCAGGAGGTTATCAGGCTGTGCGCCCCGACTCGCAAACTAGTCGACAAGCATCTCCGCCGGCTCCAGGAAGAAGGATTGCTCAAATGGCACTGCATGCTGCATCGGGACGCCACGTTTGGTCAAAATAAAAATTATTTTGTGTCGAATGACGAGGAATTCGCTCCGTTTGTCGAGGCGGTGGTCAATAACGCAACCACCAAGGCGATGATAAAAATCGTGATGGAGGATCCTGATCGCTCCGCAAAGGATTCCGACGAGGTGAGACCGGCCGGGGTGTCTGAGGCATTATTCATTGTTGATTGGCTAACTTGATCTCTTTCTCTGGTCTGCGCAGGCAAAAAAGGTTGATGATAGTCTTGCCTTGAATTACGCGGACGAGGACACCCGCCTCGCTTTGCAGCGGGTTCACACCCGCCTGGCTGTGAATGTAAGCTCATCTTCTTTGGCTCTGTGTGTTTGTCTTTACTCGGTACCTGATGCTAGCAATGGGTTTTTGGTCGAGTGCAGCCCAAATCGGATACAAGCGGGCAAGATCGAAGTCGAATTGTCGCCGATATCACCCGACACATCAAGGCGAAATATGGATGTGACGCCGAATCCATGCGCGTCCGTGATCCTGACAATCCAAACCGATCCATCCGCGTGACCACCGAGGCCCTCCGCGCTTGGAGCCGAGCAATGCTCCACGGCGCAAAGGGAGTCGACTTGGATACCCCTCCGAAATGCAAGGAATGTGTTCCCGAGGACGTATCGGTCGTCACGCTCGAGGAACTGGACGCCAGACGGGACGCAAGGCTCTCGCGACACAAGAGCGGGTCCCCTTCAAAGCCATCCATATCGCCTGGGGGCGCCACCCGTGGCCTGATCTCAAAATCCACGGGGCCCGTGTTCACTGCGACCCGCAGGTCGGCGTCGGGGCAAATCCTACCGCCGCGATTGATTCCCGGGGATGCGAAACGACCTGCTGAGAGCCGCGGTCCGGCAGGTTCCCATGCTTCAAACTCTTCTGAGAACCCCGGGTCCTTGCGGGCCCAAGGGTTCTTGGACCTGACCGGCCACGATGACGAGTATGAACCCAAGGAGTCGTGGCGCCCCTGCAGTCCTGTTGACACATCGGCTCAACGGGTCATCACATCCGGAACACCTATGGATCCACCACCATCTCGAAGGGTCAGCACCACCGGTACGGACATCGAGGTTCTCCCCGGAGGCTCCACGCTTCGCTCCCCCTTGCGCAAACTCGTCCGCAGCCCGGTTGGGGACGGCATGGCCCATCACTTCACCCGCCTGGACTTCGAGCGCCCCCAATCGCCAACCAGGATGTTATCGGTGTCTCCAACCCGCAAGCGACCTGGGTCCCAGGCCTCTTTGTCATACCCGTTGATGGACATGTCCAACAAGCCCCCTCTGAATGAAATGGGCCGTGCCCTGTCGATCGATGGGTTCCTCAAACTATGTAACTTCACCAATGACGATCATGTACCAAGGGCCTTGATCTCCCTGAACCACATCCGCCTATGGGACTTCTTCTTGGACACGACCTTCTATGTCCTCCACCGCATGGGGTTCCCATACCCTATCGCAACCCAACTTTTGAAGGGTGCGAAATGGCTCGAGGCTACCCACCTTGACCTTGTGCACACGGACCCGACACCTGACCCCTCCGAGGCCGCCAACGCATCCCAAGCAAAGCCGGAATCTGCCGCTGGTACCTCCGAACTGGACAAGAATGATGCCCAATTGGGCCCTAGCGGTTTACCAGACTCCAGTCAGCCGCAGTCGATCCACATGCCTGAGGGTGAGGACCGCGATGGCATGGCGGAAGACGAGGGGTCAAACCCCTGTCAGCCATTGAATCCATCCCCAGTTTATTAATCTGAAGTATCTGCTGGCCCGTTGTCTAATTGAACTGTTTCTGATATTAGTACTGATTTCGAATCGTCTCCTTGTACCCCTATTTCTGTCTTATCTTCAGTTTCCCTTCACTTTCTTTGGTCTCTTCCCTTGTCACCCATTACTTTGTTCCTGTTTTTTTTTCCTCAGTACTGGCTCGATCTTGTGTTGTACTGTCTTCCCGCCTCAAAGGGCTTTTTTTTCAGGAATGAGATATTGAGGTGACACTTAAACAGCAAGGCCACATGTGCGAGGCCGACTTGCGTTCTGATAATCTATTCATCATTGCGCCAAAGCTTTATGCTCTTGCAACATGCCAAAGCCCGGGAGGTAAGAATATTGCTCGCATCAGTAGACATAGTCGCTGGGCACCAAATTGGGAACTTGCGACCCTTAGAATCACGCGATCAGACAGACAATGGTCTATCTCATTTATATCATTACTAAGCAGTCAGTCGGCAGGGACATGGGCCAATCAGAGAGACATTGTACATTGATAACCGAGCACATTGAGCAGTAGATAGATTACTAAGCTGACCAGCGGGGAAACCAGGCAAGGCAGCACGAGACGAGACAGAGGGGAAAACAAGAAGGCCGATGTGCATATCATGGCTCATGAGCCACCAAATAGGCTATGTGATAGGGCAAGAGAGAAACCAGGATATCCGGATAACACAGTAAAGGAATAGACGCAAGCGCCACAGGGGGGCAGCAGACACATAAGAAGAAGGGCATAAGGGGAAAAGGGGACCAAACCGGCCATCGGATATAGTCTTTGGGTACCCAACATCGCACTCGCTCAACCGCAAGATTCAAGCACGATAGCCACAGCCCCTAAAGAGGGCACGCATTAAATCCGGGGTCACAAAGGTTTCCAAGAAGTCCTTGACTATCTCGGGATCCGCGGCGGTCCCGGTCAAAATCCCCTCGCGCTTCAACTTGGACTTGAGGACCGAGAAAACCTTCTCGATCGGGTTAAGATCAGGCGAGTATGCCGGCAAATAGAAAAGCAGTACGTCGGCCACATCACAGATCTCTGTGATTCGCCCACCGTGGTGAATCGGCGCGTTATCCATGACGAGGATACTGTTTCGCCCAGGAAATGGATTCATCACTGGGATCTGAAAATCAAAGTCATCAGCTTATATTTTACAGGGCTCAGTGTTGGGGGGGGGGACACCAGGTGATAACGTACCAATACTTCCTCAATGAAATATTCCATGTCCAGCCGGCACATGGTGCCCTCTTGGGCAATGCTCGCAAGGAGGCCGTCGCAAGATACCGCCGGCAAAACCGAAATGCGGCTAGAACGCAATGGTCTTGGGATACGTTGAGTTCGACGGCCTTGGGGTGCCCAAGCTCGATCACGTGAGTGGGTCCCCAGCGACACTCCACACTCATCTGCGGATAGGCCTCGTCAGCATGCAATCAGGCCACGAGTATTAAATAGTCGACTCATCTTACCTAGGAACACGAGGTAGGATGAGTCAAAGCCTCCGATCTCTTCGGCATAACCAGCGCGAGCCAGCTCGCTCTGAGCGGGGTGGACGGTCCTCGCCACCTTTTTGGTCATATCGAGCCTGAACTTCAACTCGGCCAAAATCGTGCTGATCGGGTGGACCGTCCCGGTCATTGCCTGGATGTGGCTCTGTATCTCGTCCACGTACAAGGTCGGTTCAGCCTCCAGAGCATTCATGACGAACTCGGCTTCCTCTCGGGAGAAAGCCAACGGCCGACCACGGTCGAGATATAGGCTTGGATCCCAAACCACATCAGCGGTTTGGCGCCAGAGCTGGATCCATCGGGTCAGGGAATCGGGAGAGACCGTGTAGCCGATACTATCGTTTATCTCGTTGAGGGATTTCCCATCCCGGCGCATTTTGACCACGATTGCTTTCACATCACGAGCATACTTAACAAAAACCATATTGCCTGCATGGAAAGATATGTAAGTGATCAGCCTCACGTCATCCGCAGGGGAAGGGGCAAGGAGACGCACCGAATAATAGACAGACACTGGAGAAACGGGGTGGAAGGGAATCATTGGATTCTGGATGTGGATGGATGGTGGTGGATGACGGTTGGTGGTCGTTGGGGCAGGTGGGGAGGGGGCCGGTATCGGGGGGCATGACGGTTGGGGTATGGGTGTGCAGTAGAGAGAGAATGGCGGCGAAGGCATCCGAAGAATCGGAAGTTTTGGAAGGCATACAGCAGCCTGCAGGAGGTCGTAATTTTCTAGCTCGCGAAACCGCAAGCTTTCCTGTGTTAGCTGTAGATGGGTGATTGGATGGCATGTGATCAGTGGTGTTGGTGTGATGTGGATGGGTTGGAGAGGTGAGGAGTTTTAGAAAATCGGTGAGACCCCTCATGTAAATTAAGACCAGGAAAATTTAGACTTTTCCAGTCTAAATCACAATCTGAAAGGCCCGCAGATTGGACGGGAAGTCATCCATTGGGCCCTTAATAGGACCCTGGAAACCCCCTATAAATGTGGGTAACCAAAATACTGGAATTTTGACTAAATTCATACATCGGGGGGCACCTCGTAAGACTAGGAAGACCCCTTCTCTAAGGGGGGCGCAACGGTACCTAAACCAGCCTATAGAGGCCAGTTTAGGGGGGGATTTGGTTGGCCGCTGAGGCCGCTGAGAATTTTCAAATTTTGGACCGGATTCCCCCCAAGTCCGCTCAACCTGAAGCTGAACCTCACCCCTACTTGCACTCATCCATCGGCTGATACGAGACCCTTACAAGAATACAAGACCCTTATAATTTTCTGGCCGATTTGTTCAACCGACGACCTCGACCGACAACCATAATCGAGCACTTTTTTAGTCGAACGACAATCGGAAACACCTGTCTTCTCACTTAAGGGACTCAGTAGCATCAAAAGGACCATCACCGAAAGTCGAATCAAAGAGCTGTCGTCTTCATAGTCTAATTTCTTGCCTTCTTTTAATTTGACCGACCATCCTCTTTTTATACAGTTTATTAGGTCTTATACTTCCCTGCTAATTGATCAATTGACTATTGCATCAAACTGTAATGTTCGTGCGCAACATTAAAATTCTAGTCTACATTCACAACGATGGTCTTCTTGTTTTGTGCTTACTCTTATTGTTCTGTTGTATGAATCGTATGATGATCATAATTCTAGGCATGTACAATCAGTCAAAGCCAAAAAGAACCACAGGCAAAAAAAAGTTCGATTTTGGGAAAAATAAAAGAAAATTTGAGAGGAGGCAAACGCGTAGGGGGACGAAGACATGAGAAATCTAACAAGGGTATTCTCAAAGGAGGACTGTGGACCACAAAATGTATGTACAAGATGGCGTAGATGGGGAAGAGGGAACAGTACATTAGTTAGCCACATGCAAGTCCTCGTTTAGATCCATCATACCTATAAACAGCTCGCTTGCAGTCACCTCATCACCCTCTTCATTGGGGCCAATCTGTTCATCTGTTTGAGCTGTTAGTGGTGGTGTAGCATTGTCCTGGGAAGCCAAGGTCGTTATCAGCTCGAACCACTCGTGCCTTTGAGGAATCTCGCCGTGTAACATGTTCCACAAGGACCGCACATCAGGAGCCCAACCAAGCATGATATCCTTGTGTTTGACCAGTTGATCGTTCAGCACATTCAACACCAGTTGGGCCTTCACGTCATCCTCGCAATCGCCCAAGCTGATTGAGGGGAGCAAGTCACCCCACCGACTTTCCATCTCATCGTCGATCTCATCTTCGTCGGATTCTGACAATTCTGTAACCAGCCGATCTATCAAAGAGCAAATCAACCATCAGCAGATGTGCAATGATGAGGAGAAGAGAGTAGGAAAGAACTGACCGATCTCTCTAATCTTGCCCGTGATAGAGTTATAAATATTTACTGCCCACGAAAGTGCAGAAGATAACTCGTTTTGTATGAATGACATCTCCTCATCTGCCCTCTGTGTTGCAAGCATAGCTTGAATGCCGGCCCGTACATCGGAGTTGCAAGCCCAAGGTTCCCGAGAGTTATAGAGATATACGTCCTGCCAAAATGCATCATCCAAAGACATGTTCACAAACTTCCGATAGGTTAGGTCTTGGGGATCCAAATCTTGATGCTCATCCGGAGCCAAAAGTGCCTGGAATTTGGCCCGATATTCATTGTATTTCTTTATAGTCGTCTCGATGGGTTGCTTACGCCGTTCCACTGCGGCCATTATTCGTGTGCTTAGAGTAGTTCCAATATGAGTGCCTCTGTACAAGGGTTGCCGTTCCGCAAATAACTCAACAGCATGAGCATATAATTCCGATTTAGAATGCCACAGTAGCAGTTGCAGTCTTCTCCTGGGGACTAAAAGTGAGAACTTGGTAAGCAACCCTATGAGTGCGGGAATTGAGTATTTTATCATACCATCCTGGCCGACTAAAATGTTGTGCTCGGCAGGCAATGCCCTTGCAACATTGCCTTGTTGCTCAACACCCGAGGCAATGTCCAAGAGGGATTGAATGATATTATCGTAAGTCCCGATATTGCTTGAGACCATCTCGTTCAATTGAGCTCTAACATTGGGACAGATTAGTTATAGGCTCATCTATTAATTTCAAAACTGTACATATAAAACGTCTTACCTAAGTCGGTTCAAGCTGGCTTCCTGATCTAAAAACGCAGCTAGCTGTTCTTGCTTCTCGTGATCTGCTTCAGTATGGGTTGTTTGAAAATGACGTTGACTGGCCCATTGTTCTTGAAAGAAGGAAAGGCTGTAGCATGTGCATGGATTGGCAAAGGGATTTGGCTGGCGGTACAATGTGTCAAGCTTTTCAGTCCCAGATTTATGACGTTCCACAGCTACACTATATTTGTGATGTATCCATGATACTAATACTCCAGAAAAAAATGAGGATGATGTTAGCTCAAACACAACAACAGTGACTCCTATCAATGCTGACCTACTCAAGCTATCTATTCCTCTTTTGTTGTGAAAGCGAACCTTGTGTGCAAGTGCGGCAAGTCGATGATTCCTTGTAGCATACCGCAATGGACTGACAAGAGAAGATAGATATGACCATAATCTCTCAAGTCCTTCACCATCAGAAAGACCCCATCCCTCATTGTAACGCGGGCTGAATTCTAGCTGACATTTCCAATTATGGACATACGAATGGAAAACAGAGGTCCCAAAATGAAGCCTGTGTTGGTCTTCAGGGAACAGGTGCCGCTGATGTCATGATGATGAGTTATAACTTGTGCCATATCAGCAATGCAACCAAGGACTCAAAATCAATGGATGACCCACCAGGTTTATGAACTTTTGAAGATTACAGCCGATATCATAGAGAACACGAATTTCCTTACTGGAATCAACATTTTTCAACACCTCGTTCAGTATTGCTAATGGATACTTGCAATTTTCTCCCCCATCAGATATATTTGCCAGATATACTGCCGAGTCGTGTCTGCAACAACATCCCATTAGTCCGGTGTCATCACACGCTTTCCAGGTAGACTTGTTCCTCTTGTCATCAGCTGCCTTGTGTGAATCAGCACACCGGTCACGCTAGATTTGCAAAACAGTCAGAAACAAGGCTTTGATCAGTACATAGTATACCTGATCAAAATGAGACCCAATGATATTTGAGCACACCCTTCCCCTCACACGATACGCTTGTTCATGTTGTTTGATTTTTTCGTCCATTTCCTTAATGACACCGGGTTCGATGAAGTTATTCGGAGTGAGAAGGTCTAAGTAGTTCTTGCTAGCAGAAAAATGATGTCGCTGCTGAAAATTTCCGTCCAAACATATTACCAGGGGGGCAGTATTTTGTTGTTGGGGAACGGGATCCTCTGGGCTTGACTGGGTTTCTGATGTCGGATGTTGCACTCTTTCCTGTTTTGTCTGTTGTATCGGAGTCGGCCCAAAACATGCTGGACATACATCTGAAGCTAGCGTTTGTTGTTTGTTCAACTTGAGTGTGTTTTTATATAGTTTGCTTGTTCGATTAATCAAGGTACGATAGACATCAACTGATGCAGAGAAGTTGGTTTGAAGGTCACGTCTCTGAAATAAACAATTGGATCAATCAGTTATAATTTTGCTACACAAATAGGCAAGACATTAAAAACACTAATTTACGTTACCCTTCAAAGTGAGAAGGGGAGGTGAACGCTCCTCAAGCCACGCTTCCATTGTCTTCATAAATGGCAGAGTCCCAACAGTACTCCACTGCCAGAGATGATTGTGAAATCCAAGAAGATGAATAGAAAAGGCAGTTTGTGGTGCTATGGGTGTGCTCCCTATGTATCCACAGGCAAGTAACCGGAGCATGTCGGGGGTACAGTCGCAGAACCGAGTGAGTTCCCTCTTTTGACCTGAAAAAAAAAAGAATTGTCAGATGTAAATCATTCAGGTAAAAGCTGGGTGCTGATGTACTATTCAAGTCAACAAAATCCACTTGGCGATACTTAGAATGGCTGCATGTACAAAAATCTGAGGAACGGTCATCAAAAGAATTGGTTGTGGTCCAGTTATTGGTTTCGCCTTTGAGCCAGAGGTATGCCCCATGAAGTGTTGGCATTAAGTCGGTCCAATGGTTGTTGTTTGTCTGGCGTCTTATTTGCTGTTCGAATTGTGTGTGATGCGCTTCCAGACGGTCCAGCAAATCAAAATCACTGTTCTGATCCCTTTCATTTGTTGAGATATCAGTGACATCTCATGTTGTATGCTTCTTTTTGATTTCATTTCTCTCATGTCACTTTCTGTGACATTCACGTGTTTTCTCTTTTAGCTCTTATACTGGATTCAGTTGTGTTTGGGAGGCTTTCTTTTCCTCATCCTTTCCAACACTTCTGTCTCCAGGTATGTCCTTTTCTTTCTTCTCTTTTTCTCTTTCTTTCTTGATGTTGAAATGAATCATCATCCTTTCCAACACTTCTGTCTCCAGTCACCTGAGTTCATCTCAACATCATTGTCATCTGGATGCTCATTGTTACCATCAGGTCCTCGTACGGATTCCTGGTGAAGATCTTGCTCAAGATTTTGGTGGGCATTGATGTTTTGGGGATCGATCAACAGTGCCGGGTCTGCCCCTCGTTGAATTCTTTGCAGCTTTTCAAGCTGTCGAAGGCGGCGTTCCAGTGGAGGAATTCGAGGTTTATAAGAGGATCTTGGCTCGGTGAAAATATTGTCCTTTCGTGCTCGTGCCATTGCCTATCTGTGTCACAGTGTGTGCAAATTTAAAAGAAGCAGTGGGTCAGCAGAGGTATTGAGGGACAGTGAGATAACAGAGTCAGACATCAATGAAAGTAGACACCTGAAACTTATGCTATTTTGAAGAAACAAAATAGAAACAAAGCAGGGGACTGTCGCACCGGTGGACTGTCGGGGGTCCGGAAACCCACAGGTGGTTTATGTAAGGTAAAATACGATGGGCTGCATCTTTCATGTTTGGGAATATATGTAATCAGATGCCATTTTTTCATTTTTAATTCATTATTTTTTTGCCCATCTTATCAGATTTTTCAGAAACATTTCATTTTCAGACAAATTCATAGCTAGCTGTGCTAATTTTTGGGTCCAGTAATTTTTTCACTTTAAAATACAAATGTGCCTTTAAATTATAGCATTATTTCAATAGAGACAGCAGGAAGGGTTTAAAATGATTTATTGAGGGGTGAAAATATTGGCTTGTGACAAGAGGTTGAGTAAGAAATCCCATTTCAGCTATATCTGTTTTTGTTTGAAATGGTATCAGGAAGTTTAGTAAGAATACTCATTTGAGCTATATATGTATTTGATTGAGAGTATTTTTAATGAATATGATTTTATCTTGTTTCTTGATGATCAGAAAAAGTGTGCAAACCAGTTATTTATTTATTTGTACCAAGGTGTGCTGCTGTTTTTGTGTGGTGGTAGATTTGGAGGAAGCTATAAAATTTTCTTTTGTGATCATAATTCCATCAAGCTGGGCCCACAAATTGGATTAGTCCATGTTAAAATTTAAGCTTGTAATGGACCCATGTTCCTATCAGTTGAATCAAGATATCTGAGTGGCTCTAAATCATTGACTTGCATCTAAAGCATTCTCATGGCTTGCTTCATTCACATGAGAAATAGGGTACATGTTATTATGGATGACTGAACTTAAAATGACACCCTCTTGGTCAGGGATGAAGCAGGGCATTTGAGTAGGATGATTTATCATGTTAACTATGAAAACTCATGGTGAATTTCAAACCACTCAAATGATGCTCATCATTGTTAGCACACAGCATTGGATCCATGTTGGAATATCAATTCCAAACCAGGAAATGATTACACAAAATCTGTGTGGATTGTGTTTACATTTATCAAAACACCCACATACCTTACTTCATTAACCCATGTAACATGGGTTCCATGTTAAAGTAAGTGACTCAATTTAAAATGAGCCAGTCCCGATTGGAGCAAGTTGAGAAAGATTCCAAAGAACACAATTATCATCCAAAACAATTATTGATCATTAACCAACTTTATGGAAGAGGCAATCATACAAATTCCCCCTCAGAGTCAGGGTCAGTCAACCAGTATATTGCACTTCTTCTAATCATTCTAACCCAAATAAATAATGAATCTGTCAAATTTATTTACATTCAATGCAAAAACTACAAAGTAACAGTTCCAATTGATTTGCCTTGGTAACCTCCTATCCCAAAAACTCTAACACCCCACCCTTTTTGCACTGATGATTATGGTTTCAAGGCATTAGTCACCAAACACCGGCACAACCAAATAATTAATCACAAATTTTTCTTGAAGAATTGGATTAATGATTTAATAGCCAAAGGTAATATTGAAAAAATCAACACAAATTCAATCCAATAAAATTCCAAAACAGGAAAGAAATAGGTGAAATCAGTCTTCTTACTAAGGCACCTGTTACACAAACTTAGCACAACACAATACATCAACAATCTTTATTGATTTCATTCTAATAATTTGAAGGAAATATCTTCTTAACATGATTTCCTCAATGATAAATATACAATTTCCCTTGGTCAGTATCACTAAAAATCAGCACACCCCAATAAGTCTGAATCTCTCTTGCAATAACTCTGCATCATTCTTGAAATAACTCTGCACATCATTCTTGCAATAACTGTGAATCATTATTGAAATTAATGCTGGGTACAATTCTAATGTTCAGATATGAAAAAGAAATAATAAAAAAGGCATCTAAAAATATTCCCAACAACAAATATGTAGCTAATTATATGGGGTTTCCCTCTGAAACTCTTGCCACCAAGGATCATCACACCACATTAACTCATCATTGTTTCTTGTAATAATTATGATAAATGAAATTCAAAGTTTTATTAGCATGAAGAAACTCAAAATATTTTCCATACATAATATTATTCTCAACACAAAAGATATGACTAAGATTGGTTTTCCTACTAAACATTCTGTCACCAAAGGGTACACCCCAATAGCTACTCAAAATTTATAGAATTGAATATAATGCTTCAAAGGTACTGTCCCATTAGAACTATTATCATTGTTTTGAAATTCTCATCCAATAATTTTCAAACCCAAACAAAAAAGTGGGCAAAATTATTCTTGCCACACAGCCTCCTGCCCCCAAAAATCAGATCAAATACCAAAACAAACCTCCTCAAACTTGACTGAACTACTGCTGATAATTTGAGCTCACCATTTGATTGAAAGAAGGAAGATCTAATGAAGTAAAGAAGGAAGATCTAAGGAAGTTTCCAGCCAATAGAATTGAAAAACCATAATTGCCTAGAGATTGGTTTATTTGGAACTAGTAACTGTTGGAAAGTGGTGAAGCTAGCCCTTCCTGCACTAATTGAGACCCCTTTTATCTGTTTTACGTCTACACAGGCTTAAATTCCAAGGAAGGAAAGATCCATAAGGCTCAAACTCTGCTCCAGCTCACCACCATCAATCACTGCAGCCCAACTATTTCATTATCAACTGGAAATTATAACTATGTCAACTCAGAACTTTTTCGAAGGACCCAATGGAGAGTTGTGGATCATGAACGCTCACGGTCAACTGGTTCCTGTTAGCCACCTGGAGACACGCCAACACTTAGATCCAACTACTCAAATAAATCACCACTCTCCTGATCAAGTTTGGAGAAACAACCAGGACCTTGAATTCGTTTCTGCTCACGATTTCCAATCAGCCATCACCCAACAAAACAGTCAAGCTGGACCTCAGATCAATCAATTGGGGCATCACCATCGTCATCAAAATGTCCCTTCCAATCTCAACAAAGGCCATGATGCTAGACAGACCACTTTAACAATCAACTCAGCTAGCGACACTCCTGCCAACTTGGCTGCCCAAACCACCACGGCCAGAACCAAGCGACCATACAAGAAGCGCAAGACCCAACAATCAAAGGTACTTCAGCCTACTGGGACACCAGCATCCTCCACTCGCACCAACCAGCCAACATCTGACTCAGAACCTTCAAGCCATAATCAAAACGTGCAGTCGGAAGGACCAGATAATTTGCGGTCAACCCCATTGTCCCACAACCACATATCTGGAGCCCCGACTCTGTTGCCCAACAATATCACACATAATGTGCCACCCTCTCAACACCAGGCCAACGCGGATGCTTGCATCAATACAATCAATAGTCTCAATCGACCTGCTCTACCCGATGACCTAGCTCAAGATTTGGAAGTCGTTGATCTGTACGACTTACGCTTGCATCAACACTTAATTTTTAAGAATAAACGACTTACTCAGAAGATCAAAGACGACCTGAAGGAGATCACCTTAGAGTATCAGAAGAAAATACATCTTCTTGCTCTGCAGCACAAAATCCGCTCTGAAATCCTGTTCAAATGGATCGGTATTTGGAACAAAGTGAGGGGCCCAAATCGGTTCAATAATTACTGTCGTTATGCCCCTGATGCCAGGCGACTTTTTGATTCAAGTAAGTAGCTCCGATATGAAGCCTGTTCCACAACTTGAATGGAAACAGCTAACTAATGCATTTGAATTCACCTATCTCAGAGGCAGTCCCACCCAGCGAGAGGATGCAGCAGGTTGCCGAGCAATGGAGGAGTCTGGATGATGAAGAGCAGCTGAAATACAACGATTGGGACTTTATCAATATGCTCCGTCAAAAAATGGGACTCCAACCGGTGGACAACCCCGAAGAGGTCGAAGATGAAGATCAAGCGGAAGCAGCTCAGTTGGAAGGGGAAGAAGCAGCCCTTGCTCCCAGGAAGTCCGATTCTCAAGTCCTCAAACACTGCAAAGATTGGGCTAAAAAAGTAGCTGTTGATGTGGGTCAACTTTTTACATTTCATGTGCTGACAATTCTGACCGACCTTGTGGTATTTAGATGAACTTCTTCAGTACCCAATACCAGGTTGAGGGTTTTTTTATCATTACTTCGACGGATTACAAAGGACGTGTATTCATTAGTGGCGGGAGTTTTCTAGGTCAAGATTACATGCAGTTAAGGAAAACCAAGGACGACGATCCATGGAGAGGATTCCGGCTCTGGGCAACTGGAATTGCGACTGATGCCAAGTTGTGTGGTGTGCCGGTTGACGCATTATGCAAGAAACGAAAACGACAGGCGATCCAAGTTACCTCCTCAAACCCACAGGCTCAAGAGAAACAACGTGTACTCAAAGGCCTGTGGGACACAGGTCTCGCAAAGACTAATAAGCCAAAGATGACCACTCAGCTCAGAGAGCTGTTAGGTATGTATCATTCATCTTGTTCATTTCTCTGCCTTATTTTTTTTGCTGTTTTCTGATGCTTTCATAAATTGAAACTAGCTGAAGCTTCTGGTGGCGTTTGGAGTGGTGGTTGGCCTGGGGAAAAAGGTTGCGAGTTGTTTCAAAAATGGGGGTTGAAGCTGCATATCGATCCCAGGGCAACAAAACTTAAGGAAGAGTATCTACTTGGCTTTGCATTCAAAAATGCAGGAGCAGGCATTGTCGACATCATTCTGGAGGCATTACACAACAGTTGAATTAAAGTCACCGACACTAACGAGACTAACGAGACTAACAACCCTAACGTTGAAACCACCAGTCCTATCTCCATTGGTGAAGGCATTAATCGGGCCGAAGGGAGCAGTTTGGTAACAAATGACCCGGTAGTTGATCCTCATCTTGACTCCGCCACTCTTGTCTAGTTTAATATATAACTCTCAATCTAGCAATTGTGTTCCCATCTCAACATTCACATTGATTACCATAGTTAATCTTACTCCTCTTGCCTCCCCACTCCTCCTCTCCCTCATCATACTTTTTTAAACTTTCTTCGGTCTTTGTCATTTTTTTCTTCTACTCTTTCAGAGACTGATTGTGGCTTCAAAATTCATAACGTTGGTTTGATCACAGTAGATTTTTGTGTGTTTCGGAAATCTGAAATAAAATTAAGAATCATTGTTTGTTGACAAGCTTAAAATTTGCCAATGCTTAACTGCTTGAGTCATGGGAGTACTGTAACAGAATGGTGGCATGACGAGTTTTTGCGGGACAGGATTTTGATTGGATGGCACTGATCGATCGGTCAAGTTTTTGATTGGTTGAGATGCGAGAACAAAATATCTGATTCGCATTAAGATGAAAAGCCTTCAAAAGGCACATGGAAAGACAAGATACGCTAATGACAAGATTATCAATACATATTGGTAATATTGTAGGTGGTTGAATAATGCATGATTCATCGATTGCAGTCACAGGTGGAAAGTGCAAGACCTGATAAGCTGCATGAATAGAGGATAGTCGGTCAAAATAAGAAAAACGATAGATTTTAAATTGGAAGCATACATTGTTCAATGTGACTCAACGATGGTCTATTATTAGTTCCAATCGTTGGTTGAAGGAAATGGTGATTGGACAAGCTCACCGGTCCTAAAAATCAAGCATATATCAATGCCGTTGTCAATTTATCAGTGAGTAGGAAAGTGTAAGACAACATACACTGCAGACGGTGCTTGGTCGACACATCGGGGTCATGAAGTTTTCGATGTGCGGCTTGTTAAGTGGGAAGACAGGTGTTTCCGATTGTCGTTCGACTAAAAAAGTGCTCGATTATGGTTGTCGGTCGAGGTCGTCGGTTGAACAAATCGGCCAGAAAATTATAAGGGTCTTGTATTCTTGTAAGGGTCTCGTATCAGCCGATGGATGAGTGCAAGTAGGGGTGAGGTTCAGCTTCAGGTTGAGCGGACTTGGGGGGAATCCGGTCCGAAATTTGAAAATTCTCAGCGGCCTCAGCGGCCAACCAAATCCCCCCCTAAGAGCATCCACCCTCGTCTCTGTAACCCCACTCGGTAAGTGGGATTTACAGAGAATTTAAGCATATTCATACCCCCATCCCCTCTTTAGGTCTCTGTAACAAATTAATCTCCAAGATTCTCGCTAAGGGTTCATAAAGTTACGAACCCCTACAGAGCCTCATTAGCCAACACTTATTGAGGCCGAATTGAAAAATTAGAAGTCCTCATTACCCTCAACCCCTCACATCCATCCCCATATACACACCCCATCACAATCACATCAGTTGCCCAGCCCACAAAACATCTCCCTTCTACCAGAAAGAAAAGTAATCATCCATGGCCGAAGGCGAAATTGAAATTGTTCCAACCAACAACGAAACTACCAAGAAGAAACAAGCGCCCAACTGGCTTCCATTTGAAGAAGAACAGCTTGCAATCTCATGGGTTCATGTCAGCGAGCAGCCCGAGTTTTCCAACAACCAGACTGGAACGATGTTTTACAAGAAGATAGAGGAAAACTTCAATCTCTTCAGTAAGATTCACTATCGGAGCCATGAACAGATCAAGATCAGGTATGAACCATTTATTTTCTCAATTCCGAAGTCCGATTGCTGATTCCTTTCCTTTAGGTGGACCTCTTTAAATACTGCAACTCTCAAATTTGCTGCTATTTACAACGCGATCGAGCGAAACCCTCCAAGCGGTTCCTCTCCTGAAGACTGGATGGCAACTGCGATGACCGTCTACGCTGATCAGACCAAAGGTGTTGCATTTGGCTCCGTTGCAGCCTGGCAGAAAGTCCGATACTGTCCTAAATGGCAAGGCGATCGACCCGATCTAACAGTCCCAATCCCGATCCCCTCTGATAACATCGACACAGAAGAAAATCCTGGCAGCAAAACACCAGCCACACCCACCGGCATCTGTACCCCAAGCTCGCGCGATGGATCATCGATATCACGCCCAATTGGTGGGAAGGCCGCAAAGAAGCGTCGGATTGAGGGTTACAAAGATGATGAGATGCTAGCGTCGGCGGCCAACTTTGCTGATATTTCAAAGGACCGCCTCACCGCATTGAATGAGGGAAATGCGATTGAGAAGGAGAAGAACGAGATATCGAGGGAAATCTTGAAGATCGAAGAGAAGAAGTTATCGCTGAAGGAAAAAGACTCGGTTATTCAGGCGGTCCACAAACAGAGCGAGACCCAAATGAACGATTACAAGCTCCTCCGCGAATTAACAAGTGGAAAGGAAGACCCCGAGGCCGAAGAGGTCCTCCAGATTATGAAGAAAAAGATTATACACAAGTGGCTTTCCTCTTAGATACATAACATTGTTTGCTTTTACCTCATCAGATGTCATATGTCCGTGTTAGCTCTTGAATTTAAAGATCCCTTCCCAAGATCAAGTTGCAATCTTCTCATGATCGAGCAATCGAAATTCATCATTGATCATGAATCCAACTCTAAACGATTGGTCAGATTGTTCCGATCAAGACCGATTGTGCCCATCAATCCAATTCCGATTTAACAATTTTTGAGTTTCTGAAACAATATGGCTTCATTGCTAGTATTGCTTGTTGTAGATATGAGCAAACTGCAAACAGAAAATAGAGATAAGAAAACAAAGATCTCCAATCAAAGACTGTTAAGCAGTCTCATCACCTTGGAGCAGCCAGTTATAGATTTTGAGGTCTTCTTTTAAGAGAGCATGCATGAAGGAATTATGTAGATTCTGGTTCAACTGGATATAATTTGCAAAAGTATGAGCTAAGCCGGGATCAGTGTGGTTGGGAATAATGACAGCGGAAGATGTGATGTCTGTTAAAAAGAGGTCGTCTGGAGATCGATCCTCCACAATCATATTATGGAGTATAATACAACAGGTCATGATGCGCATGACATCCTCCTTCTCCCATAAACAGACAACCAACAGTCAGTACATGCCATCGCGCTTGAAGTACTCCGAACGTTCGCTCGATATCCTTCCGAGCGGATTCTTGAAGCTTGGCGAAGTGTTTTGCAGCCCCCCCCTGGGGATCCCTTATTGAACAGACCAGAGTCGACCATGGAGGATAGATGCTATCGCATAGATAGTAGCCGTTCGTGTAACGGTGCCCGTTGATAGTGAAGTCGACAGCGTCCTCGGCACCAGATAGTAAACGATCGAACAAGTGACTTCGATGGAGGATATTGATGTCGTTCAACGCGCCGGGGCTCCCAAAAAACGCATGCCAAATGCGAAGATTCTTGCTAGCTACCGCTTCCAAGACAATGGTGGGCTTTTTCTCCTTGCCTTTGTATTGGCCGGCCCATCCCGATGGGCAGTTCCTCCATGCCCAGTGCATGCCGTCGATGCTGCCAATACAACCTGGGAAACCGCGCTCTTCGTTTTCCTTCAGGATTGTCTCAAGCTCCTCGCGATTGGGTGGTCGGAGGTATTCTGAACCGTAGATTTCAATAACATGAGTCACGAAATGCTTCAGTGTTCGCAGAGCGGTTGTTTCGCCAAGTCGAATATACTCGTCAGTTGAATCAGCACTTGTGCCGTATGCAAGCTGGCGGATGGCGGACGTTATCTTTTGTTGGGGGGATAGACCGATTGTTCCACAGCAATCCTGTAATGATACTTGTTAGAACCAACCACAATAAAAAAAAACCTGCAAACAGAACTTACACTCTTGAGAATCCAAAAGCGATCATGTTCTTGTAGATCATGACAGAGCCGATCAAATATCCCTCGACTCATTCGGAACCGTTGTTCAAACATCCGGTTGTTGTAGACTGGATTCTCATCAAAGTAGTCGGCCATGAGTCTCTTGTGACCTGCGATCCGATCTCGGTGGATAACCATTCTGGGCCCTTCCAGAGCTCTTCTTTCGGGGGGCCTGGAGACTGAGTTGAGGAGGCGATAGAAAATCTCCTCTTCCATGGAGTCGACGAGGTAGTCGTCCACGCTGTAGGGCATTCTGGCACGGTGTTGATAGTGATCGCCGGAGTTCTGAGATGGCGAGTCCAACTTACAGAGGCACCCGGGGGTGCCGGCAACAGCTGGCAACCCTGAGTATCTCCCGCGGCTTTGCCTAACCAGCCGGTACCAACCAACAAGGGGGGTTTCACCCTGTAGATTAGTAACAGAGCCTCGAGGGGCTCGTTGCTTAGCTAGAGATTTACCTCAACGGGGGTGGATGCTCTAAACTGGCCTCTATAGGCTGGTTTAGGTACCGTTGCGCCCCCCTTAGAGAAGGGGTCTTCCTAGTCTTACGAGGTGTCGGGGGGCACCGGGGAACAGCACATTTGGGCCCATTCATACACATTTCGTGAGTATGCTCAGGCTAAAATTCCCCGGAAAGTGAGGAAATCCCCGGGAAGAGGCAGGGACCAGGCCATTTTTGGGGGGTTTTCCCCCAAGTTAGGGGGATATTCATACATTTAAAGCCTGTTTGGTGAATAACCTTTCAGTCAACCAAACTCATTCATACCACTTTCGTGAGTATGATTTTCGTTTTTTTCTGAAAAATTCATACCTTTAGGTTACCCACATAGTTCAGGGGTTTCCAGGGCCCTCCCTTAATCCAGTTGTCAATTTAAGGTTGAGAGAAGTCTAAGAGAGGAAGTCCTCCAATGTGCTCACAAGAAGGCCTCAAAGATCAAGACTGAACTGCCACCTTTTTTTAAAAATAAAAAACTCCATCTCAGCAGAAATTTGACAAGCTTATGCAAAAAGATCTTCTGTGATTGTTGGCAAAGTGGTATTGGTTTCATTGCAGTGTTCTATCAAGTACATGTAAACACAAGATTAGCAGAAAGATATAACAAATAATAAAACTTTAGCTAGACACAGGGTGGGAATTAAAGGGTGTGAGCATCAGATAGCCGTTCTTAGAATACAATTGTTGTCTTTCAGGCAAGGCTCTCCCAATCAGAAGAAAGGGGCCTTGGTGAATCAGGTTTAGCATGGAATGTGTTGCTTCATCACTTGCTCAAAGGAAATATATAACATATATATATACATATATGTATAAATATGGCTGAAGGTTTTATGGATGACTTGGGCAAGGTTGATGGATAAAAAGAAATGATAGAAAAAAAGAGAGAGATTCAGAGATAAAAGAACTACCAGCCTACCTTTGCTACAAATGACAAGGCCTACAATTGAAAAGTCAAGTTAGGGATTAGTAAGTTGCCTGATCATCACAGATAATCAGAGATTGTTGAATTGTTGGAGCAGATCAGAGTTTGTGCACTTTGGCGGTGCGAAATTTTGTCATTCCACACAGTCTCTCTCTGCCATGGCTTTGATTGACTTGACTCGGTCTGGGGCGACACTTTATGCCTCATCAACTCAAATTAGAAAGGGGGGAGGGCACAACAAGAGAAGAAAAAGAAAAGCTTACCTCAACAATTGCAGTCAGTCGTGGTAAGTAACAGACCTCGATGACTCTAAAGGGTCATCAAGGTCACTTCAGTGATCCATAGAGGACCCAGACTCCTTGGAGTATAGCGGGACTCGGAATTCGGACCGACCAAGGACAGCGGTGGTCCGGACAGTTGAATTCAAGCCAGATTCCCCCGGGGGAGGGTCATCGAGCTCAATCCACTCAGCCCGACACCACTCACTCAGCACAGCACTCTTATCCAGAACGATCGACATACACAAACGGTCAACAAGGGATCAAGTCGAGATGTTACAGTCACCACCAAAGAGCACCTCTTCATCAGCCCCAGTACCACCACCAGTGATCGTCAAGAGGAGACGCAAATCGGGCAAAGGCCAAGGGGAGTCGTCTAGAGAAGCCAGCGCAGGTAAGTGTCTGACTCCAAACCCAGCTTGTTTGTCGGATCCCATCGAGCTGAATCGAGTCTTCTATTGATTTGCCTCTAGAATCTAATGATGAAACGGCAAGTTAGGGGCACCGATCTCCCATTACTCTTGATCGGTTCACTTATATCAACCCCTCTCTCCCTATTATACACAGGCAACAGATAACGACCCGATGGCTGATGATACGGATACGGCCTCGATGACCTCGCCAAGGAACCCGAGCAACCAATTCCGCAACCGGACTGCCTTCGAGGAAAGCCATCACTCACTCGCACCTCCTCATCGTCACAAACGACCCCAAACACTCGCCGCCACAGCGACGATCAACAATAGCATCCCACTCCTAGGGAAAGACGACACTAGCCCTCTGAGGATCTCCGCTGCCGGTCTTAGTCACCAGGCCAGTCTCGAAAGCGGACTGGACAGTAGTACGAGTACCTACGATGGCGACGTCAGTAGCGCCCCGGGCCGTGCCGATAAACGTGGCCATACAACCGTTATCAAACATCCACAAGCCGCCCAAAGTGACGACGCCAGCAGTGAATCAAAGGCTGGTAGCGGACCAGGTTCAGCCTTGAGTCACATGAGCTGGGCTCACGAGAATCACCCACAGCAACACTCGCATTCTCAATTAGCTCCACCCAATAAGGCCAACACCACCCCACGCTCTCAATCCCTGACCACCAAGCCCCTCAATCCTAACCTGCCTCCAGCTCCGCACGGGATCCTCTCCAGAATTGCTCCCGAGGATCTACAGGCAGAAATGAAAGAGGCAATCCAAAACTCAAGCAAACAAAGAACTGTATGTCATTTTCCTTGTTTGCCTTCAGCATCAATCCACACCATGTTCTTTAAGGACGCTGAAGTTCTTTTCCTTTGGACTCGCCAGTATTCAATCAACCCACCTCCTACTGATCGACCTGTTAGGATCTATGCCGATGGAGTCTATGGTCAGTTTTTTTTTTTATGTTAGAAGGGCATTTGTCGAAGCTGAACTCTGATCTGTTGGGTTGAATGATATTCTCAGATCTTTTCCACTACGGGCATGCGCTCCAATTGCGCCAATGCAAGCTTTTCTTCCCGGAGGTATATCTGATGGTCGGGGTCTGCTCGGACGAGTTGGTGCGCAAGTACAAAGCATCGCCGGTCTTGACCAGTGCCGAGCGGTACGAAAGCGTGGCCAACTGCAAGTGGGTCGACCAGGTTATCGAAGACGCCCCCTGGCAGGTTGATGCGGCATTCTTTGAAAAGTATCAAATCGATTACGTGGCTCAGTCAGTCTTCTTCCCCTTCAATTCATTCATCTCCTGACCCCAATCATGCCTACTAATCACACTTCCCTTGCTCACAGTGACGAAGAGCCCTATGTCAGTGTAAACTCGGATGATGTGTACGCATATGCAAAGTCGATTGGTGATTTTCATTCCTACTACTAGCTCCCAAAGCGAGTTCCTGAGCTAATTGACTGACTATATCCCCAGGTAAGTTCTTACCAACTCGACGAACGGATGGTGTGTCGACCTCAGAGTTACTTCAACGGATCGTCGGGGGCTACATCGAAGGGACGTACGACAACAAGCTCGAGAAGATAGGCGCTGGCGACCTGTGCAGTAACATCGCCTTCAGCGATACCGGCAGCGGGGCTCATCGAGGTGCCGGATGTAGGACCCCTATGGTTCCTCGTAGCCCCGTCCATCAGACCGACGCCGAGATGGACGATGGAACTACTGCCGGCAATGATCCTGCGCAACAAAATTGATCTGCCATCTTGCCTTATCTCCTCATTCACATATAGACTTATTTTTATTGATTTATTTATCCATTTTATTTATTGACTGCACTACACAGAGCTCAGCCAAACTTAACTAGGCTCAAATCATTAACCATCTGACTAATTTATCGATTGATCTATTTATTTCTGCGTGCTTCTGTCAAATAAAGCAAAAAATCAAGGTTTTTTTTGTTGTACTCTTCTTTTCATGTATGATCATATCACTTTATTCCCATTTCCCTTAGAAAACAAAAGGCATGTGATCTACAGCTTTTTACATATTGTGTGTATGTTACTATGATTCCTTATTTAGAAAACTTTTTTTGCATTGGAGTTATGATAATATGCAAAACTTTCATTTTCAAACAATGTTTTTCTGATATCCACATTTTGTCTCGGAGATGATCTACTGTTTTTTGAAAACTGAGTTCACTGGGTTGATAACTGACTCAAGTCAATTATAATAAAAATGTAAAAAACTCTCACCTTGGATGATGATAATCACATTGACTATTGAACAAAGTCAGACTGGAATCTCAATGATTTGGAAATCAATGTGACTCAGCCTGTTTTAAAAGATTTTTGTTTGAATGAGATGATGATTGGTGCTGGGCTAGCTCAAGATATTTTCATCAAAGCTTATCCATTACAATAAAATTGATCTCTTATCAAATCTTGCTTTTTTATGCTATCCCCATCTTCCAATATACCATCATGTTCAGACTGTTGTTTTTTTACAAATTATGGGAAATGAAACATGGAAAGGAAAAATCAACATCTCATTTGTCTTGTGTTAAAAAGGAGTTAATTGTGAGATGGAAATATGCTATGGCAAAGCCTTATAAGCTGTATATAGCAGTATTAAGTTTTAGATGTTTCAAGCCAAGTTTATATATTGGCTTGTAGATACATATTGGTTCAATGATTTCCACAGTTTTTAGAATGAATCCTTCCCTATGACATCAAACCATTGCATACATCATATGTATTGTATTAAGATCACATGCCAAGGCAAGTTTCCGCAAAACACATAAGTCAGTGTGACATGAATGAAAGGCTGCTTACTGCAAGTGAAACCCCTTCAATGTGTCTTACCAAGGACTCACTTGCCATTGAGAGCAAGGTTTCAAGCTGGAATTTGAACAAATTACAAAAACAGTAACAATCAGCAAAATCAGTTGTGATGTCAATGGGTTTTTTCTGCTTTTCAAGACTCATTTCACCAATAGAATAATATGAATGTTGTATGTTTTAGCTCATGATTGGTGGATGTATATAAGCCCCAATAGATCTTGGCAAGGATTCAATTTGATTATCAACATTGAGCTTCTTTATGTGGCAGTCATACCAAGGCTATTGGTATCTTGCAAGGTTTCCAAGGCATCATAATTTGGCAGTACACTTCACTTTCAAGTTTATATTTCTCCCTCCCAACCAGAAAATTCTCAAAAATAATCAAAAATAATCTTCTATAATTATTGACATCATACATTTCAGCTGCACTTAATTAAGAAATAAATCCTTCAAATGGCAGTAGAGCACATTCCTTGCATCCTCATACGCTCCTTCTGCTTACTATTCTATTTTCATCAAATCATCATTCCTGTTCTCTCTGCACCTGCTGATGTAGTTCCACCAGGGGCAGCAAGATTTGGAGAAAAGGTAATCCTTGATGCAAAGCCTTCAGCCACATCTAATAGATTAGAATTCCCACGTCTCCATAGAAGAGCATTCCACCAGCTTTCTCAACCCTCAGCCTTTCCTCACCATGATTTAGGACTTGCTGGGCAACACATACATCCTGCATGGCCAACATATGACTGGAGAGTTGCTGGACAATATGGTCAGTCTGAAAGTCAATGGCCTACACACTCAGGGCCTTACCAAGAATGGGGAGTCTCTGAAGAAGGATATCATGTGCAATCTCCATATTACATATATCTAAGTCCTTTCCACAACAATGCATATATAGGCCAACATCCCCAATTTCAATCAACCACTTACCCAAGTTATTGGACTTCATCAGGAGGGAAAAATGATCATATGAAAACACTTTCCCGTAAAGAGAAAGTGCTAGGAACTGGAGCTTTCCTTCAAAATCATGCACTGAAAGACAGGAGCTCAAAAAAAGCACTGAAGGTACAAAGAAAACACCAACACAAATTGGATGAGCCCTTTGATCCTCACTCTTGCCATCAGCCACTCAAAAAGCCACCAATTCAGCCAAAAGAGAAAATTCAAGACAATTGCTTGCCCACAATTGACCCTGAGAATTTTCCGCCTCTTACAGGAAAGAAAGCTGGGGAAAACTCATGTGAGATAGCCAATACAATACCATCTACTAGACACTCTAATTATCTGAAAGCTGTTAAGAAACCATACTCTCCAAAACTGGAAATTAATGATAATCCCAAATATCCAATTTCTTCTGATCAATTATATCCACCTCTCCCAGGCCATAAACCTGGATTAGAAGCACCTAGGGCTAGTACTACAGCTCATGTACAAGCAACTCCACACTCTGGGTATCTGAAAGCTGTAGGAAAATCATCCTCAACAGCAATGCATGAGCCTTCAACTCAAGTTAATACATTCCTGGAATCTGTGAGTCACCCATCTCAGACACAGAGGAAACCACACCAGTATCTGGGGCTGCAAAACAATCACAAAGAACATCTGCCTCTTTCAAGTCTACCAGCTTGTGACAAGGTCAGTAATCAGAAGGATAATTCTCTGAAAGAAGATTTGAATTGTCCACTTTTCACTTCAACCAATACTCAGCCATCTTTGCCCAAGAAGAATGATCAATCTGATTGGAACCCAGTTGCTTTGGATTCCAGTAAAACTGCAAGCAAACAAACCAGTCCTGCAGTTCAACCTGTGAATTCCCATGGAAGTAATATGCTTAAAAGTATGGCAACTGGTCTCAAAAATCATAACCCAGATTCTATAAATAGTTATGCTTCAGCAGTGAAGAAGATACCTCAAAAGGCCAAAAAACAATGCAATCTTGTGCTTTTAACAAAATTTTTGAATTTGGAATCTTTTCATTTTCAAGATGCAACACCAGCACAGACCAAAATGAGCAAATCCATCATGGTGGACCCCAAAAAGCCTGTAGAAAGTCTTTCACCTGCACACAAGAACTCTATGTGTGCTTTTCAAGTTCTGGATTCTGATCCCAATGAGTCTCTGACAAGTTTAAAAACTGGACACAATCAACCAAGCTCAGATGATGGTATTTTTTCATCAGAATCAATCAATAAGATTCCACAGCAGTCAAAGGCCAAAAATCAGGGCCTAAAAGAAAAATTAAATAAGGGATTGTTACTTTCCTTAGAAAATACACCAGCTAGTTCTTCTGTTGGGAAACCCAAATTGTCTTTGGACTCCAACCAACCTCAAGACAAGCTTTCCAATCTACCCAAAGAAACTAAGCTAGAAGTTCATCCTTTGACTTCTGATACTCATCAGCCCCTGAAAAAAACAGAAGTTGAACATAAAGAATCTACTGCTGACACTCACACTTATCTTTCAGCAGTGAAGAGACTGCGACAAGAGGTCAAGGACCAAAGGAAACTGGTATCTCTCAAGAAATTGTTGAAGATGGAATCTTTTTATATTGCAAAGAAAACCCCACCTGGGCCTAATGATTGGAAAACTCAGTATTTGGGTCCCAAGCAGTCTATGAAGACTGATATATCTGAGCACAAAAGAAATTTTTCAAATTCTAAAAAACCTATGGCTGATGGTCCCAACTCTCAGGACCCTGTGGCTCCTGGTCCAAATAACTCCCTTGTAAATCTCAACAAAGCACCAGGGCCTGAATCTCAAGAATCTGTGTCTTCAAGTGATCATTCCCTGCCTGTTTCACTTGTAAAAGCACAAAATGAGGAAAATCAGTATCACAATTGGAGTTATGCATACCATGAGGACCTACAAAACCTTCTCAGTCTGATTGCACAGAAATCAGAATTACCAGGTAAGCATGAATACATAAAATCCAGTTCTAAATACATGAGTGAGATGCTGAATATTGGCATGAATTTTAATTCAATACCACAGTCAGTGATGCTCACAACAAGGAATCTGCAGAGGAAGACCTTTCAGAAATTTTAGACTTTTCAGAGGAAGAAATTTCAGCTATTTTAGATAAAGGGCTTCTTGAGCTACTTGATTACTCTTCCATATAGCCTCTTTTTGCCCTGGTGCATCATTTATCTTCTTTACTTGGCTCATAATTTTAACAATTCACTTGTTTGCATCTCAACCTTTCTTAGCTAAATTTCTGATTTCATTGTTGGTTTTCACACACATCCTGCAATTAATATGTGTGGTGGGAGTTGAGAAGTTTACACATAGTTCATCAAATAAGAGTACAGTTGTGCACAGCAAATTACTGTACAAAACCAACTTGGTTGTGTGGGGTAATCGTAAGGCTGGGGGTTGGTTGGGGGACCAAACCTCCAGATGATGATATTTTTGGAGATTTCAGACTTTTTAGATTCTAAACCCAAATTGGCAACCAAATTGGGCCAGCCAGTTTTTTTTTTTGGCTAACCATCTGGACACATGACCTTGGGCCCAACTCTCCCTGGCGCCAAGGGAAGTCAGATCCTCACAAAAATTCCTGACCATTTGTACAGGACTTGTACAACAGTTTGCTGTGTGCAACCGTAGAATTTGAGCAATGATAGGCCAGGAGTTACAGCTAGCAATGGCAAATAACACAAGTTACAGACTGAATACTTCAGTTGTATTTGAGATAAATTAAAGCACCTGGGATTGTTCTTTTCTCTTTCTGGGAATTGAGTGGAACAAAGGTTTTTTTGGTCAAGTAATTTGTTTTTAGGGATGGGAATAATTGATTGCAGATCAAATAATGAAAAAAACCAATGATTTGAGTAAAACCATTTTTGTTCCACCCAATTTCAAGCAAGAGTCAAGGCCAATTGTGGAGTCACTGTAATGGTTTCCTCCTTTCACTGATTTCTTATGGAAGGAAATTTGGCACCGAGGGAGCCTTCTAGAACCAAGAAAGGATTTATTTCTAGCTCAGCAGTTTGATAATGAAGGAAAAAGTCCCTCATCAGTACAGGATTTGAGATTTACCAGAGAAGAAAAGAAAAAGGAAAGTGAAAAGATGAAGAAAAAAAGAAACAGGATGACAGAATTTAAATGAGTTTGGCTTACCTAGCTCAGAAGTTTGATAGTAAAGGAAAAAGTCCCTGCTGAGGTAGGAGGTGGAGTGGGGAATGAGTCTGGAAGTAGTTAGGGAATTTTAATTATGTGATATCTTTGTGAACCCTGTAGAGTGTGGTTTCACAGTCACACTTGAATATTGGTTTGAATGAATTTGGAATGTTGGGTTTCTACTGGGTCATTTTTATGCTTTCAAGATTTCAGGTTCTACAATCACAAATCAGAATACAAATCATTGTACCTTCAATGTTTGCTAATGAGTCCTACTTTGCTCCTATGAGAGAAAGACAATCGCAAGTAAAAAAGACCTCCCAATTTACTCTCCTTACAATAAACCAAGTCACCTATTTCAGTTTGCCTGATGCTCTGATGAGTTTGCTTTATTAATGCTTGGAATGATATTTGTGCAATTAAACAAACAACACACATTATTTAACTGATGTGGATAAGAGTCTGAACAAACCAAAAAAAAGCCTGTGTTTACCCCTCCAGTACATGTATGCCACCCCCAGGCTCCCCTTCACCAGCACAGTTCCTATAACTCACTGTGAAGTATGTAAATGGATTGTATGATTGTTGTGTTGTGAAGGAAATTATTGTTTCCTTTTGGCAGACGGCTGTAACATATGTATGACATATGTGTGACAGGATCTGTTGACAGGTACATATTGTATGTCGTTTCTCTGTCCAGTCACGCGTCCGACGCGTCGCGAGCACGAACCATATCAAGTAAAGTCTACTCGCTAAAGAAGGGACAACCGGTTAGTCGACCTCAAACAAATTCCCCTTGGTTACTTGGTTACCTACATCCGCCGACAGTGTTGCCCACCGGTCCAGCTTCCAGCTCCCTCCAGTTATATGTGTGCTTCCCTTTGGCTCAACTCATCCACTTCCCAGCCGACACTACTCAACCCTTTGTCCATATTCGGTTGGACCCTCTGATCTGCCCACTCTAACTCATCAATCCTCTTCTCCATCGCCCTTCAGATCCCCAGTTGAGAAATTACAGTTATCCGCATTCAAGCCAAGTGCGCATACAAACTGAAAGCATCCTCCAACTTGGGTTGCTGTATGCGCTCTACAACCCAGCCAACTTCAATACAACATTATCCCAAAACAAGTCATTTTCAGATCAAGCACACCAACAGGGAGATTAATCAAGAAGCACACATACTCGCCATCCCAGACTCCATCTAACCCGGCTCCCACAATTGGTTCTGTTGAAACCTCGACCCTTTCTGCATTCTATACACACATCCCATTTCACCACTCCCGGAACACTCGCTAACTGCACTTGCAATTCCGTCTTTCAACAATGCCATCGGAGACCCAAGCAAGCTGGTCCGGTTCTTTGAAATCCAAGAAGAAAAGCGAACTTCAGCGTGAGTTCCCTCTGATCAAATCCTTTTTCTTCCTCGGGCGTCATGTCCAGTGTGTGGCTCTACCCTCCGCGCGCCTGCGCTGCCGCATACACGCGTCTTTCGCCACCACCCACACATATTCTTCTCAGAACTCGGGGCGATGCCCTGCCGTGCACCTACCATCCACTCGATCTCACTATGTATTATGGGCAGCACTTCGAACTCCACGTGGTTGATGCTCACTGCTACACTTTTTAACAAGGCTTGAACTGAAATATGTTTTCTATTTATTCAAATCGATGGATGCCCTGCAGAGATTTGCCGTCAGCTGGATATCGAATATAAATCCGACTCACTCAAGGCAGAACTTGAACAACAGATCCGCCATCGATTCCATGAGGTCCCGAGCCTTCAAGAGGATGAACGATTTGTGAGACTTGATCACACTAGCAGTCCAAGCACCAGCCCAAGCACCAGCATTCCGGGCAGTCGTCGGGGTACTAGAGCTAGGAGTGCCTCCAGGCCTCCCAGAGCAGCAAACGATGAGGACCCCCAGAGCTCAACTGAAGATAACCCCACTCGTCCCACTCGATCTCCTTCCAGAAGAACCACACTCGACCAAAACTCAGCTGAGTCAGCACCTCCGACTGGAACACAAAAGATCCTGGTCACCGTCGTGAATACGGAGAAAGACCTTAGCCGGTGAGTAGTAGACGTTCAAACAATTCTCTTCCTTCTCCCTCTTTCCAAGCTAACTAGTGATACGCTTTCACGAAAGTAATCACACTTCATCCAAAACTAAAGCAGTACCGACTCAGCCGGCCGATCAAGCACAACAATTAGCCAAGCAAACCAGTCGACAAGCCCTTGATTCATTCAATGCGTTTGCTCGTTATACAGCTCGTCAGACTATCAACATAATCCAGACCATTCAGAAGGTACTCTCTTCTTCCCTATCATCTCTTGCTCGCTTGAATTGCAACTGACAATGGCTTTTACCGTTCGATTACAGACTTTTTCGTGTCCTTGGAAATTGTGCGTGATTGCAATCTTGGCCGAGTTGGCTTTCGTCATTTACTCTACCGTCCCTCATCGCCATGGAAACTACGTCAGTTTTGTTTCACCATGAACGAAAACTTTTAGTCCACTAAGAAATGAAGCAACTGTCAATTGACGCCGGCACCCTCGTGATAACTGTGAATTCCAAATGAACAGGTCCAACCGAAACCGGATGGATATCCTATCAGTATCCCAGAACCGATGATCAGATTGTTCTACCGGATATTCTCCAAGTCGTTCTTGAGACCATTTGCAGGCTATCTCGGCTTGACGGTTGTCATCCCCTTTGTTATTGGTGGCTTGATGAACGTTCCGAGCTCAAGCCAGGAGAAGGACAACAAGCCGAAGTTCAAAGCCACCCGTGACTTAAAGCCGAGCGTCTTCGTTTACTCTGCCACCAGATTGGCCGTCCTCTCGCTCGTTCATCTCGTCTTTTATCCTAACTATCATTTCGGCTGGGCTAATCAAACCATCCATCCATCCCCTCCTCTGAACCCATCCCCTTCATTCGAGGGGGGTGATCTTTTCCCCAAACACTTTTTCACTAACATCCAACTCACTGGTTTCGAATACTTGCAATATGTTACCACTACTTTCGGGATGCTTATTGCGCTCCACCGATTGATTCGCCCATCTGCTTGAATTATCTTATGTCCCCGCTTTTGAGACTTACCTTTCTTGATTCAAAGAACTGCCACCTTGCGTTTTCTAATCCAAAAAAAAGTTGCACATTTCATCTATTGTTTCCTTTTTACGATATCTATCTTAACTGTGTAGGAACGGCTTATCTGATCTTATTTTTTCTAATTGTGTGTTTCTCTTACTTCCAATGGTATCGACCCCATTCATCACAATAAGCAAAATCATCATTATGTCTGTGATCATTGTATCTCTTGATTTTCCCACGTCCCCTACCCCCCTCTGTGTTACAATGGGTACAGAGCACATGAAAGGTTGGTTGCAATCTGTTTTCGCCGCAGCCTCAGCCAGGTAGGATTGAGTTTGTGAGGATTGATTTAACTCAATCTCGAATAAATCGAGGAGCGCCTTCTCAGTGGCTTCAGCAACAAGCTCGTGATACATAAAGAGTCTTGAAACAGCACAACCGACGCACTACATGGTGGAACTTGAAGCCGAAGATTTGCCGAAGAATGTAGCCCATTTCGGGAGAGTAGCGTTCCCTGGGCGTGGAGGGGCTTCCGGCCAAGCGCGACCTCCAGACAGACTTGTAGGTAAGAATAAGATTCAATCAACCAGCATTCAAATAAGCAATTTGAGTGGTTCGATATAAGCAATAGAACTTGCACACAACAAACAAAAGAAAGATTCAAGAAAGAGATAGGATTCGTAAGATTCTAGAAGTCAAAGACTAAGAAATTGCACCATCTTGGGATGCAGCCAAAAAAGAAGGTTGCAAGAGTATTGGTCATTATAGATAATACTGGACCTTGAGGCTTTGGAGTCATAATTAGAATTCCATGGAGAGGGCAGCACTGGAAAAAATGGAATGAGGAGAAATTTTTATTGAAATTAAAAAAAAAAAAAAAAAAAAAAAAAAATTAAGCAGAAGAACATTAACACATGTTGCTTAGATCTTTGATAAGTTACTTGTATTGCAAAAGTTCAGAGAAATTCTGTGTCAATAAATCTGGTATCAGGATAGTTCAGAATTATCAGCTATTTGAGGGTTAAGGATTAGGGACAATTGTTATTTTTCTGCTAAACTATGACATTATTTCCAATAGTGCATGTGATTCCACACAGCCATAGCATCCTTAAATTCATCTAATTTCAATCTTGCACTTTCATTTTCGTGCCTTTTGAGTGCAGACAATTTATTCAAAAGATTATTGATTTCATTGACCCTTTCCATTTGGAATTTTTCCCTACATTCTGCTTTTATCAATATCTTTAAAATTTTAACAAATTTGGTCTCCTTCTTGAATTGGTAATCATCCAAAGGTGATTGGACCAAGATTTCTATTTGATCTTTTTCTTTTTGTTTCAGATTTGTTTTCAGTTTATGGAATTGAATTTCAAGACCTTTGAAGAAGTTTGTGTCCTCAGTGATCAATCCCTTTGTAATTTGTACAAGGGCTTTTGAGATTTGTCCACTTTCCATAATGCGGTTCTCAACAGCCAACTTTTCAACATCCTTCATTAGAATTTTGTTTAGGTTAAATTTGCTTTTTAATTTGTTCAGGTATTTCTCTTTCCTTCCTGTGAGGCTGAGGCCCCTTGTAGCCATAGAGTCCACGTCTTGAGAACCAGCAATATATCTTCCTGGAGTATTGTGTGTTCCTAGTTCCTTTTCAATTGATTTGATGTGGTCAAGATAGTGTCTGGATGTGTCGATAGGCTGCGCTTTCTTCAAGAAGTCTTGCATTCTCTTATTAAACTCTTCAACATTCTCTCGGAGTATTACACGTTGACCCTTGCCAAATTTCCGGAGGGATACTCCGTGATCAGAGCTAAGCTTACCTTCGTCCCAAAGGACCTTCAAAGCTTCCAAGACCTTCTTTTCCTTTGCAGCCAGTTCGGACTTGGTTGTCAGCATAGCAAATGCAGTCGCGCACTTCCCGCGATTTTCCAGTAGCCGCCATTTGTCAGCGCGAGCGATAATTTCCTCCTGTGTTCTCTTGTCTTGGGCCAGTATGTGAAGGGCATCCTTCATACTTTTCATCTTTTCTAGCTTTTCGTACATTTTTCTATCTTGCTTGCTCCAGTCTTTTCCCGTTCCTACCCTAGTCCACAAGTAAGCCAGTGCTTCAAGAACGTCCTTTTTTGTTATATCTTGAGATGTTTGGTTTTCTATGGCCAAATGACAGGTTTCTTGCAGATTGCGAATCTTCATGTTCCTATGCTGCGCGACTGTTTCCTTCCCCAGCTCCGCTATCAAAGCCTCGTCAGCAGCGGTCAGGTGAGAGCTGCCATGCGACATGTTTTCAATAAGTTGAAGTTCCGCGTCCGAGAAATTGGGGCCTTTCCTAGCAAAGATCGATAACTGAGTGATCGCCTTCCGCATTTTCTCAGTTGGGAGAGGCTCGAGAGTTCGACGGGATCTTAATCCTCTTCGTAACTTGCTCAGTTGGTGGGAAGCCTTGTCTTGTTTCCATTCATCTCTCTTGAAAACATAGCGGAAGAAGTTGATAATTCGGTTCCACCAACTTTCATTTTTCCAATCCCTCTCAGCTAGGTTGAACGTTTTCTCTAATTCGACACGAACTTCACGATTTATCACATTTTGCTTGACTTCTTCTCTTAAAGTATGTAAGACACTAGGACCTCCTTTCTGGATTTTACTGACAATTCGATCGCCCCATTCAATCTGTCGGAGCTGCAATTTTTCATCTTCTTCAAGTTTTTCATTGTGCAATTTTGACGAAGTTATGTCATGAGATTTAAAATTGTCGTACGCTGTACTGAATGTCGAAATTGCTTTATCTTTAGCGACCAAGTCCTTATCGCTAAGCGCTGGATATCCTTCGAGTATGGTCTTGGTGTGAATCTTATACGGCCGACTGTTATCTTGATTTCCAAATAAATCCTCGAAACCTCGTTTTCCTGAGAACAAGCCAGCGTCCTTTCCATTTTCCCCTTCGTTCAGCACGATTCCAGCCTGCCGGGTACTATCCCTGGCAGAAGCCGGGTCAATGCCTCGGGAGACAACGTGCGTCGGCACCTCTGGAGTTGTCATAGCGAAGTAGACACAGTGGAAATGAACCAACAAAAGGCACATTTTCATTTTCTGGCAATATGTGTTCTTCCGCCAGCCTTCAAAATTTAATAAAGCTTTCCATCGAGTCATAATGTCTTTGAACGTCTGTCCTACGACTCAGCTGAATCAATCGAGATTTTAGAGGAGTTTTTTTGCGGAACCACTTCTGGGATAAGTGTGGTCAAATAATTGACTTTAGTGCCCCGAGATTTAGTTATTGGGTAAAGTTGAATTAATAGTACTACTACTGCAGAATTCGACGGCTAATGGCGGATACAATTGATGCAGGTATGCCCCACATTAGTTAACTTTTAAACGAAATTGAAGACGCAGTGGTCGCGATGAGTGTCAACGGCTCTACGTACGTGGCCATCAACATCGTGAAACAAATATTTGTGTAGTTTGAAAAGTCTCTCCTGCCTGGTTGTACAAACATGCGGATCGTCAAGAAACCGGTAAATGTCTCTGGTTGAAGTGAATTTCATAATTAGAACACACAAAGCAAGCTCGATGAAGCGGTTCATTCAAGCACCCTTCGTGGTGGCGAACTTCATGATGAGTATGATGTGTGCAGCGCTCGATGAAGAGGAGGATCTGTTGTAGGGTCCTTGTGCTTGGCGGTCTTCTGCCTGCGCACCTCATCGAAGAAGGTTTCAAGTTGGGCTTGGCAGGCTTGATGTTGCCTGTGGTGGCCGCTCTTCGAAAAGCTCTCTGGCTAGTCAAGTCAGCTGGGACCCAGGAAAACCTCTATGGACCACAGTAACAAAAAAACCCGGATTCGTGTAAGATTCATACATTGGGGGAGGGGGGGGGGGGGGTGCTTGGGAATTACATTTTTAACAAAATCCATACATTTTTGTGTGTGCACTTGTGGAAACCCCACCCAAGAGACTCACTCACCAAGGCTCTCATTGGGCCAGTCAGGGGAATGAGATCCTCACCTGGATCTTGCAATAATGGATGTATATCTCCTAGGTTTTTCTTCAAAGCCACAAATTGAGTTAAAGAAGAATCTCAGTTACAATACTGAGGTCCAAACCATTACATGTATTGCACCTTTTATGATCTTCCAGCACAATTCTGCCTGTGTTGGCTACTGCTGCAAATTGACCATCTGATTTTACCCATTCTATTTCATAGCATGGATTGGAGGACTTCCCATGTGAACTGAAGCCCTTGCAGAAGTCGATCTAGACTCAAAAACTCTAGATTCTTGCAGGGGAATTTTGTTTTTGAGGCTCTAGATCGGTTCTGGGGGACCCGCAGATTCCGACGGGAAGTCCTCCATTATCTTGAATGACAGAAATGATTCATTCATGATTACAACCATCTAATTTGGGAGATTAATGCCTCACCATTAAAAGGAGTTTGTATAAAAATAGGGGCTTGGTTAAAAAAACTGGAGAGCCAACTCCCAAGCCCCGGATTCCCCAAAAAATGGGAGTCAAACCCCCAAAACCTTTGACTGGTTTGGAAGTCGACTCCCTAAGACAAATAATAATAAAAAATAAAAATCCCCGGTTGGTTTGGGAGTCAATCTTCCCAAACCAACCAGGGTTTGGGGGTCAATGGACCAAAAGACCCACAGCAGTGTCCAGGAGGATTCCTCCCGGCCGCTGAGGTACACTCTCATTGGCTGGGAGTTTACCCCTCAGCCGTGAAAGTGTAAACTCAATGGCCATGAGGGAAACTGCCTTGGCCATCAAGAGTATAAACTCTCAATGGCCAATGGAAACTGCCTTGGCTGTTGAGGTGTACACATCTTGATGGCCAAGAGGATTCCTCTTGGCCATTGAGGGTATACACTCTCAACAGCTGCTGGAAACCGCCTTGGCCGTTGAGGTGTACACTCAGAGAAACCCTTGGCTTCTGAGTGCATCGTGGAGAGTGTACACTTTGACGGCCAAGGTGGTTTCCCTCAGACATGGAGAGTGTACAGCTCAACAGCCAAGGTGGTTTCCCTTGGCCTTTGAGAGTGTATACCCTTAACAGCCAAGAGGATTCCTCTTGGCTGTTGAGGTGTGTACTGAGGCAGTTTCCCTGTTGGCCATTGAGTGTACACTCTCACAGCCAAGGGGTAAAATCCTGGCCATTGAGAGTGTATAGTGCCTAGACAGTGAAAAGTGGCTGCTTATTTTGGATTGCAGAGCTCCAAAAAACAAATTTGATATCATGAGACTTGGTCAGGTGGTGCATAATAGGTCCCAGAAAATGAATATGAAAAAATAAAAACAAAAAGTAAAGTTTCAAAATTTGTGAAAAATAAAAAATAAAAATGGTTTTTTCCAAAAGCTTTGATATCCATTTTGGGGGAGTGGGAGTGCTGATAGAAAGAAAGGGAGGAACATGGCATGAATGATTATAAATGAAAAAAAATTGGAACCCAAAAAGGTTTGGACAGGTTGGTTGTCCAGATTTGGATC